CCATTGCCATCAGCCAATTCTAGAACATTCTATCACAACCTCCAACAAAGAGTGAGCACCGTTAACCGTCTTATTTTCCCATCCTGCTCCTGAGAACCATGAACCTTTCTGTTGCTAGGGACCTGCCTGTCGTGGACACTTTGTTGAGGGAAATCACACTGCATGAACTTTTGTGTCTGGCTGCTGCTGCTTTTTATCATTTTATTTTCTGTGTATGGGTGTTTTGCCTGCACACATGTCAGTGAACCACATGCGGGCCTGGTGCCATAAGAGGGCGTCAACTCCTCGGGAACGGCAGTTACAGATGGCTGTCAGTCACTAAGTGGGCCCTGGAATCAAACCCAGGTTCTCTGGAAGAGCACAACTGCTGAGCCGTCTTTCCAGTCCTGTGTGTGAATTTTTTTTTCTCCATCCAACATCTCAGGTTTTAGGCTTTTTTGTTTGTTGTTTGTTTTTGTGTATATATGTGTTTGTATGTGTGCAGATGTTCTAATTTAAAAAAATTGGCGCATGAGGGAAAGACATCATATGACATAGCTTGGGTGGAGGGGTTTTTATTGGGGGAAAGTGAGTAGGGAAAGGGGGAAGGGGAGAGGGGAGACTGGCCTCTGGGGACAGGAGTGACAGAAGAAAAGAGAGAGGCAAAGAGAGAGAGACTGATAGACAGATAGACAGAGAGGCAGAGAAGCGGAGAGAGAGATAAAGAGAGGAAGATGGGAGGTGGGCAGGGACCTTTTAAAAGGGAGCATAGTGAATGTGCACAGGTGGTGCTCTTAGTGGCTGCAGCTGAGGGCGTATCCTGCCAGAACCCCAAGGGCAGGCCAGTACAGATGCCTGAATATTAACAGCAGATGCATGTAAACATGTACACGAATGCAGAACCCAAAGACCAGCCTCAGTTGTCACTCCTCAAATGCTGTCCATCTTGTTTGCTTTGGAGAGGGGTCTCTCGTTGGTCTGGAGCTTGCCTCAAGTTGAATAGGATGCCAGTCTAGTGAGAAATAAGGGATCTACCTACCTCTGCCTCCCAGAGCTGTGATTTCCAGTTTGTGCCACCCATACCTGGCTTTTGTTGTTGTTATTTTGAGACAGTGTAGGCTTGGCTGTCCTGGAACTCACTATGTAGACTAGGCTGGCTTTGAACTCACAGAGGTCTGCCTGCCTTTGCTTTCCAAGTGCTTGGGTTAAAGGTATGCACCACCACACCTGGCTTCCTGGTCCTCATAATTGTGTAGCAAACATTTTATCAATGGAGCCATCATGTAGGTTTTTTTGTTTGTTTTTATCTTATTTTTAAAATTAGTTTGTATTTTTCATGGATATCTTGCCTTTACATATGAGTGTGCACCACTTGCATGCCTGGTTCCCACAGAAGTCAGAAGAAGGCCTTTGATTCCCTGGAACTGCCATGTGAGTGCTGGGAATCAAACGGGTCATCTACAAAAGCAAGTGCTCTTAACCTCTTAGTCATCTCTCCAGCCGCTGATTTTAGTATTTGCTTGATTGTTTTCTATAAATATTTTTTTCATGTACATTCATGTTTTGCTCGCATATATGTCTGTGTGGAGGTGTCAGAGCCCCTGAAATCGGAGTTACAGGAAGTTATGAGCTACCATGTAGGTGCTAGGATTTGAACCCAGGTCCTCTGGAAGAGCAGCCTGTGCTCTTAACTGCTGAGCAATCTCTCCAGCCCCTATCTGACTGTTTTTGCAGGATCTCATGATATATCCCTTGACTGACCTGGAACTTTCTTTGTAGATGAGGCTGGCCTCAAACTCACAGAGATCTGCCTGCCTCTGCCTCCCCACTACTGGGACTACCATATGTGGACCACTATGCCAGGCTTGTTTAGTTTTTAAATATAGGATCTTACTATATAACCCAGCCTGGCCTGGGACTTGCTATGTAGGTCATAACGGCTTTCAGCTCACGGTCCTTCTCCCTCAGTCTCCAGTGTGCTGGGATTGCAGGTGTGTGCTCAGCCAGCATCATGTCTGGGGTTCTCTGTGCCCTGGTGTGAAGCAGCTGCTTTGGGTTGAGCATTTGCGTGGGTTAGCCACCCTTTTCCCCTCTGTGTATCTGCTGCCAGAAGTCGGTCACACCTTGTTTTGGGTGCTATGAAACTCACTGCCATCGAGAGACAAGTTGAAGCAACTTGGAACCACCACTGTGTAGTGCGTAGAGTGCACAGTCTCGTCTATGCCCTACCAGAAGCCCAGTGGTCACTCAGTAGCACTGCCCCCCTCTTACAGGAAAAGACACCAGATCTACCTACCAGCCCTCCTGTCTGTCTCCTGGCCCCTCTCTCTGCCCCCCTACCTGCCCTCCTGTCTGTCTCCTGGCCCCTCTCTCTGCCCCCCTACCTGCCCTCCTGTCTGTCTCCTGGCCCCTCTCTCTGCCCCCCTACCTGCCCTCCTGTCTGTCTCCTGGCCCCTCTCTCTGCCCCCCTACCTGCCCTCCTGTCTGTCTCCTGGCCCCTCTCTCTGCATTACTTTCTTTGCCTTTGCTCTTTTAGAGACTGTGGAAACCAGGAAATGAAGCACAGCCAACTTGGGAACACAAATATTTGCCAGTCAAGAAAACACCCCCCTGTCAATCAAAACCCAGACAAGCTGGCGCACATACTCGTAGGAGCGGGGGAGGCAGCTTCTGTTTTGGCATGGTCCAGGTGGCTGATGGCTTCTCCTCCTCTGAAAGCACCCACCCCAAGCTTCTTCCATCCTCAAATGAAAGCTCATGCTCAGCATAGCCACTCAGCATCCAGCGACGTTTATTTCTTTTGAGAATATTTGTGTGGATTCTTTCTCTTTTCTTTCTTTTTTTTTTTTGTGGTTTTTCGAGACAGGGTTTCTCTGCAGCTTTGGAGGCTGTCCTGGAACTAGCTCTTGTAGACCAGGCTGGTCTCGAACTCACAGAGATCTGCCTGCCTCTGCCTCCCAAGTGCTGGGATTAAAGGCGTGCGCCACCAACGCCCAGCATTTTTGTGGATTCTTAACCTCATGAAGGGGACAGAGGGTTTGCCAGTGACAACTTTCAACACAGATAAAGAGTAGTCAGGCTTCCAGGCCATGGGGGTGGGTGGCACTTGAGCATGGATTTATTACAGCTTTCCAGGGTCCCTACAATGAACAGGATACAGTCCAGTTGGGGGCCATAGCTGAGATGGAGCAAATTTCCTGTCTGGCTACAGAAACCCAGACTGCACATCCTTTATGCTGTGTGTATGTGTGTGTTTTGCTGGATGGAAACCAGGTGTCTTAGTTTTCTATTGCCATGGAAGACTGAGGAATGGTGGCATATGCCTTTAATCCCAGCACTTGGGAGGCAGAGGCAGAGGCAGCCAATCTCTGTGAATTTGAGGCCAGTCTGGTCTACAAAGCGGGTTCCAGGACAGCCAGGGCTGTTACACAAGAGAAACCCTGTCTCAAAAAACCAAAACAAGGGCTGGAGAGATGGCTCAGAGGTTAAGAGCACTGACTACTCTTCCAGGGGTCCTGAGTTCAATTCCCAGCAACCACATGGTAGCTCTTAACCATCTACAATTCAATCTGGTGCCCTCTTCTGGCATGTAGGCAGAACACTGTATATGTAATAAATAAATAAGACACCATGAACAACACAAATTATAAACACAAGTATTTAATTTGGGGTTCACAGTCCCTAAGGGTTAGAGTCTGTGACCATCAGGGAGAAGAGCATGACATCAAGTAGGCAGGCATGGTACTGGGGCAGGAACTGAGAACTCATATCCTTATCCACAAGCACAAGTCAGAGAAAGGGCACTAGGAATAGTGTGGACTTTTGAAACCTCAAAGCCTAGTATCACACCTCCTCCAAAAGGCCACACCTCCTAATCCTTACCACACAGTTCCACCAATGGGGACCAAGTATTCAAGTCTATGAGCCTATGGGAACCATTCTCACTCAAGCCAGAGCAGCAAGACCTTGCAAGTGGGAGGTCACTGCTCTGTAGCAGAGGTACACCCCCACTCTGGGGCTTCTTTATTTCTGAGGTAGCAAATGCTGCATGGCTCACGCTGGCCTCGACTGGAGACCCTTCTGTTTCCACCTCTGAACTGCTGGGATAGATTGCACCTCACCTCTGGGCCTGCTGGTGAGGGTTTCAAACTTGGATCCAGCCCTGCTGCCCTTACCCGTGTAGACTAACATCTCCCCGTGAGCCACCCTAGTCTGCTGCCACCCTACTTGCTGCCAACAGGCTTATAGGGCTCATTATAGTTCAGCTGTTCTCACCACATTCCTGACTCAAAATTCTCCTGTGGGGTCATATTAACATGGAGACTTTCAGAGATCTGAGCGTTGTTGGCTCACAGAGGCCCTGTTCAGAAGGCTTGAGGGCATAAGGCTGTAGCTCAACGGAAGCGGTGTACTTGAAATTTTTGAGGCCTGGGGTTCAATTATCACAGGTGCAATGATAAAACGTTTGCAAACTTGTCCCTGTGAGGTCATTTGGTTTGCTAAAGCTTTGATTCTGGGCTCTGTCCTAAAGGATCTGAATGGAACAGACAGGGAAGTCACATTTTCGTTGCTTTTTAACCAGTGTTCAGAAAGTGCAAAGACTGTAAAATTAAAGGGAAGACTCTTCCCTCATGATGGTGTCTGTGGGTACTGGTTAAACATGTCCCAGCACCCGGAGCTGAGTTTGGGATGAATGTGTTTATTCCTGGATCTGCGGTTAGCGCTGGTGGAGACAAGGTCCCAAACCTCTACCGTTTCAGAGTGGAGGCAGGCAAGTGATTTGAGTTTGCGGCTGTCTGGCCGAAAAGGAACGGATCGCCAGAGGTGCACCGCCTCCTGCTGGCGGGTAGGGGAAGGGGCGGGCGCAGGATAGGCGAGGCCGAAGGGAGGAGGGGCGGGGCCGTGTGGGGAAGGGGCGGGACCGTTAAAAACTACCAAAGGAGATAGAGGCGGGGCCGTGAGCGTGACAGGCGGGCAAGAGGAGGAGTCGTGTGCGGCCTGAGGGAGGGGGCAGGGCCGGAGACCAATGAAGAAGAGGGGACGGGCTAGAGGTGGGGCCTGGCTCAGGGTAGCGACGCAGCAGGGGCGCGGCCGTCGGGGGGCGCTAGTTGTAACTCCCTAGAGCTCTGAACCAGGGTTAAGGAAGCGTGGGACCTGCGGACTGGAAAGGGTATGCGTAAACCACAGAAGGGCAAGGCCCTAGTATGGTTGTGGGCGGGGCTTGAGCGCCTCGCTCTGACCGACCAATCCGCGGGCTCGTACCAGCTGCGGATTCCTCCCGAGGCCCCGAAGACTGCCACAACTCCATAGGCCGTGGCAGGCTGTCTTCCGGTCCGGGGGCGGGCCCCGTGCGGTGGCGGGAAAGCAGCGGCCCAGGCGGGAGCTGTGAGACGCCGAGGGGTGGGAACGGACTTGTAGCGTGAACTCTTCATCATGGACGCAGCCGAGGTGGAGTTTTTGGCCGAGAAGGAACTGGTCACCATTATTCCGAACTTCAGTCTGGACAAGATCTACCTAATCGGGGTGAGGCGGGCGGGACGGGGCTGCGGCCGCGGGGTCATGGACAGGTCAGCGCTCCTTTCCACCTGGGGTCTGCGTTGTCCTTGCAGGGGGACCTGGGGCCCTTCAACCCCGGCTTACCCGTGGAAGTGCCCCTGTGGCTGGCCATTAACCTGAAACAGAGACAGAAGTGCCGTCTGCTACCCCCAGAGTGGATGGATGTGGGTGAGCATTCCTGGGCCCGGGTGGGCGGGCTTTACCTGGATCTGACTCCTTCCTCGGTCCCGGTTGTTTCCTGACAGCCGACATCAGTAGCTGTTCCAGTGGCTCGTTGGTGTATAGTGTTTGTGATACTGCTAATTCCTATTTGAATTTTAGATATGTAACTAGCCTTAATATTAAAGATGTGGGGCCTGCGTGATGGCTCAGTGGGCAAGGACACTTGCAGCAAAGCCTGAGAACCTGAGTTCAATTCCCCAAATCCACTGTGGGAGGAGATAACCGAGTCCCGTCGTTGTCCTCTGACTTTATTATGCACTCGACTGCACACGATAATAATACTTTTTTTTGGTTTTTCGAGACAGGGTTTCTCTGTGACTTTGGAGGCTGTCCTGGAACTGGCTCTTGTAGACCAGGCTGGCCTGGAACTCACAGAGATCCGCCTGCCTCTGCCTCTGCTTCCCGAGTGCTGGGACTAAAGGAGTAGACATTCAACTTTAAACAAGCATTTTTTTCGTAGTGTTTATTTTTATTTTTATTTTTAGAGACAGTTTCACTGTGTGTTCTGCTGTCCTAGAACTCACTCTGTAGACTGGGCTGGCCTTGAATCCACAGAGATCCGACAAGTTTTGTTTTAATTGAGTATCAGTCAGCATGCTGGGAAATTCTGTTACAAAGACTGAAAATAGCGTGTCCCTGTGCAGTTTGTCAAACTGACACAAACTCAAGTCACCTGGGCAGACAGAACCTCAGCTGAGAAATTACCTCCATCCCACAGGCCTGTCTGAGGGGTGTTCCCTTGGTTAAGGGTTGGTGTGGCAGAGTCCAGCACACTCTGGGCATTGTCACCCTTGGACAGGTGGTGTTAAGTTGTATAAGAAGACAGACAAGGCAGTAAGCAGCCTTCCTCCGTGGTTTCTGTCTTTGTTCCTACTTGAGTTTCTGCCCTCACTTCCATCAATGATGGACTGTGGTCAGGTCCCTCCCCAAATTGTGTAATGGTGTTTATCATGGTGACAGAAGAGCAAATTGGGACCGGTGCCCTACGGTGGGATATTATTATTCAGCCATGTAAAGGAAAGGGCTTCTGATTCGTGCTACAAGGTGGGTGGACCTGGAAAATAGGACGTTGAATACAAAAGCTAGGCATGGGAGATCAGAGATTGTAGGATTCTGTCTACCTGAACTGTCAGAAATAGGCAGAACCATAGGCACAGAATAGTGACTGCTTAGGTTATGGGGGCTTGGGAAGTGATGGAGGGATTATTTTTTGGGGGGGTGATAATCAGAAATTGAAGCGATGGTTGCACAACTCTTTGTTAAAAGCCCTTTGTACACTTTCAGTCAGAAGTGTGTGGTAGATTAGAGATGGCTCTGAAGATGTCCTAAAAAAATGAAAGAAGGCAGCTGTGAGCCTTTGCAGTCTTTTCTCTGATTTTTTTGGGGGGTGGGGTTGGGAGAGAGGTATGTGCATCATGTAGCATTTGAAAATCCCCCAGTGAGCTTGACTGAAGTCACCTGAGAGGACCTAGGAGAAAAGTCTTAGTCACAGTTTTGTTAACTTGACAGATGCGCTTGGGAACAAGCACCCTTCATTGAGAAATCACCTCCATTAGATTGGCCGGTGGGTATGTCTGTTGGGCAATTTCTTGATGTATGTAGGATGGTCCAGCCTACTGTGGGCCATGCCACCCCTAGGTAATCCTAGACTGTATAAGCAAGCCAATAACAGTCTTCCCTTGTGGTTCCTGCTTGAGTCCCTACCCTGACTTCCCTCAATGGTAGACTTTGATCAGTAAACCAAGTAAACCTTATCCCCAATTTGTTTTTGGTCATGGTGTTCATCATGGCAAAGGAAAGCAAACTAGGGTAGGCTTTGAAACTCTCAGGCTAGTTAGAGAAATGAGCTTGAACTTGGACCTCTTGTTCCCTGTGTAAAAGACTGGGTAACTCTGGTAGTCCTGAAACTGGAGACCCAGTTCCTGTGCCCAAAGGGCATGCCCCTTGAGACCTAAACCCATTAGAAACACATTACTAGTTTCAACTGGTCCAGGCCAAAGGTTAGAGGGGTATGCAGAGTTCTGTGCTTCAGATGGTGGTGGTTCCGGTAGCTTGTGCAGAAGGCCTGTCTGCTCTGGGACTGCATGTCCACAGCATGATGTCATGTGCCAGGCTTCTGATGGATGTGTGGTTTGCAGTTGGTCCTGTCGCCCCATGGATCATCGCCCTGTTCTTCTGCCTAGGTGCTCCCTTGTGTGACTATGCAAATGCTTAGCCATCCCGCAAGAGGGTATTCGGGTTACTTCTCATTTATAAATATTTTCATTTTATATGTATGGGTCATGTGCACCACATGCATACAGTGCCTTTGGAGGCCAAAAGACTATATTATGAGCTGCTGGATGAGTACTGGGATCCAAACCCAGGTCCTCTGTAAGAGCATCATGTTCTCTTAATCACCGAGCCATCTCACCGGTCTCCTCTGTCCCAGTTTTAAAAATCATCATTGTGATGTGTGTCTGCACGTGTGCCATCGTATTGAGTCAGTTCTGCTTTTCCACTGTGTTCACCTTCATCAGGCTTGTGGGCAAGCACCTTTGTCTACTGAGACATCCTGCCAGGCCCCAGGTTAGTCCCATTGTTTATGATTTTGAATGAGACTTGGAATTTTCATGTCTGATTCTTTCTATAGATAGGTTTTTCTCTTTGATTTGTTGAGACAGGGTCTCATGTAGCCCAGGCTGTTCCATACTTGCTTTGTAGCCCAGAATGGCCTTGAGCTGCGAATCCTCCTGCCTCCACCACCCACGTTGCTGGGTTACAAGTGTTTGTGCTAAGCCCCTCCGACTTTTTTTCCCCCTTAGGCAAATAGATACCACCTGTTGGGGATTTGGGCCACAGGACAGATGATGCTTAAGTTATAAGAAGCTTCTAGCCAATCCTACTGAGTGTTGAAACATTAGGATCCCAGAGAAATGTAGATGAGATCACATTGTCCCACATCCTGGCCAGAGGGTTGGCATTGCCAGTCTTTTTGATTGGTGGGAACATTGAACAGGTGTGTTATCTGATTCAAGGTTAGAAAGCAAAATAATCCTATGCAGTGGGTCCAGTTCAGTTGTAGGTGTCTGTCTGGCATGTATGAGGAGTGCAGGAAAAATTAATCATTGCTTTCATGGAAGTGGGGTGAGGCTGCTTGCAGCTGGCCTGGGTGCTCTCAGGGGAGCAGTAGCAGCTTTCCTGAGGTCTGTGTGGAGGAGGGAAGAGAAGAGCTGCTGCTAAGGCATGGAGGCTGAGCTCTTTGATGGAATCACTGTTTTCTGAGGTGGGCAGAGCACAGGGCAGTGAGGGGGCCTTCTTGGGGATGCTGTTTAGCTGTCCAGGTGGAAGTAACATCTACAGTGGCATGTACAAGCAGGGCTGGGGATGCCTCCACTTGTGTCAGTCTCCACTTGGGCAAGGTAAGATGTCTGAAGTGTGAGCCTAGGGTGTGGAGAGGAGCCACCCACTGAGCTCTGGACCACAGTTCTGAGAGGTCACGGGGAATTGGCTACAGGCACAAGTAGAGGGCAGATTAGGTCAGAAGAAGGTTGGGGTAGTGGTAACATCAGACTCTGTCCTTCCTGAGAGGTACTTGCAAGGCATCTAGTCTAAGACACAAATATCCCACATTGTTTTTATGTGGTGCACGTGCTTACTGGCCATGTAGTCAATATAAGTACCTGGTCAAATTGTAAGATTAAAAAATGGTGGCGCACGCCTTTAATCCCAGCACTCAGGAGACAGAAACAGAAGGATCTCTGTGAGTTCAAGGCTAGCCTGGTCTACAGAGTGAGTTCCAGGACAACTAGGACTGTTACACAGAGAAACCCTGTTTTGGAAACAAACAAACATTTTCTCAGGGCTGGAGAGATGGCTCAGTGGTTAAGAGTATTGGCTGCTCTTCCAGAGGTTCTGAGTTCAATTCTCAGCAACCACATGGTGGCTCACAACAATCTGTAATAGGATCTGATGCCCTGTTCTGGCATTCAGGCATATATGCAGACAGCACACATATACATAAATGAATAAAAACTTGAAAACAAAAAAAGTTTTCTCAGCCAGGAGTAGTGGTACACACCTTTTTTTAAAAAAGATTTTATCTATTTATTATGAATACAATATCCTGCCTCTGTATGTCTGGAAGCCAGGAGAAGGCACCAGATCTCATTCCGGATGGTTGTAAGCCACCATGTGGTTGCTGGGAATTGAACTCAGTACCTCTGGAAGAGTAGTCAGTGCTCTTAACCTCTGAGCCATCTCTCCAGCCCAGTGCACACCTTTAATCCCAGCACTTGGGAGGCAGAAGCAGACTGATTTGTGAGTTCAAGACCAGCTTGGTCTACAGAACAAGTGCCAGGACAGCCAGGATCCACAGAAAAACCCTGTCTTGAAAAACAAAATGTATTTTCTCTTTGTTATGGTGATGGTGGAACACACTAACCTCTATGTTTCAGAGAAATTGGAACAGATGCGAGATCAGGAGCGGAAAGAGGAGACATTCACCCCAGTGCCCAGCCCGCACTACATGGAGATCACCAAGCTCTTGTTGAATCAGTGAGTCAGCACACGAGGCAGGCAGTCATTGCACGCCCTGCGTGAACTCGAATTCTCATCCCCGCTTCCTGCCCGTTCCCATGGTGTCCCAGCTGCCCAGTTTCTCATATAGGTGACCTGGAGGAGGTGACTCCATGCAGGGTGACTAGGCTATCTCTCTGTTCTCTCCTGTGCCTTCTTTCCCCACATTGGATTCTGTACATTCCAGGCCTGTCACTTGTCACTGGGTTACAATGTAGCCACTGTCATTTCAGCAACAGTCTTTTCTGTAACCGCAATGCTTTGTTTAGTTCAACTTTGCCTGGATCTGGGTTCCCTGTGTCTGTCACAGGAGTTGCCAAGGGCCCTTTGAGTTAGAGAGATGTGTCCTGGCAAGCTCCGGGTTTGTGTGGCCCCACTGCCCTAGCTGTCTTCTGGTTCATTCTTCATGTGTGGCCAGCCTGTCTGGTGCTGCCCTGTCAGTCTCAGGACGGTGCTCACAGCATTGACAGCTGGCAGGTGTCACCGCCCCCCTTTACAGCTCTACTGTCTTTGCTCTGTGTCTGTAGGTTCATGATCCCAGTGGCTCTTCTGCAGAACAGGTTTGCTTGTTTGCTGTGGGGGCGGGGTCTTGCTAGATTGCTTACACTGGTCCTGAACTCTGGGCTTTAGAGGTCCTCCTGGCCTAGTACAGTGTCTGCAGAGCTCTGCTTTGGCATTTGTTACAGTGCAGTTTTGTAGCGTGCCATTGTGCAGACTGTACTAGACGGGCAGGAACTGTCCCCACACAGGCCTCACAAAAGTTTATTGAGTGAAAGTAGTAGATGCTCAAACCTGACTCAATGAGCATCCAGCTGGGCAGTACCTTTCAGCTGGTTCAAGAGCAGATCTGGCACCAAGGCCAGAGCAGCTGGACAGTAGGGACCTGTGTCACTGCTTTGTTCAAAGGTGAAATCAAAAGAGGGATGGGAGGCCTTAGGTCATTCATTCCTTCCTACAACAATGTACTTATTGTTCTAAACATGGCCACATGGGCCTGAGTTCCCATTTGAGTAGGGAAACAATGTGACTCTGTGAACTGGTCATGAAATTGCTGGACAATCAGTGCCTTTGGGAGTCCTTGGGGCTTAGTAAGGCATGGGCGCCAGAGAAGGCATTTAAGGAACTCAAGCTTGAGCAGAGCAGGAGACTCCCCAGGAGCAGGGGGAGGGCAGCAGTGTAGGAGGAGCAGTAACGTACTGTGGCTCCATGTACGTGAGGGCATGGGGACTAAAGGGGTACACGATGGATCACAGAGGCATAGATTCTGTTGTGATGGGGAGACCTGGGGAGGTGGTGTCTTCAGGGGTCTGAGGGAGATCATCAGTCTGGGAAAGGAGAGAGTCTGAATGTGTGACTAGGAACCAGGCTGGTGCTACTGGTATAGAGGGCTGTCTTAAGATCCTGTGCATTATGCTCTCTACCATGAACCTTACTGTTGTCTGGGTGTGGTAGCACACTTTCAATCCCATCACTGGATGAGCATGGAGGGTAGAGACAGATGAATCTCTGAGTTCCAGTTTAGTCTACTTTAGGAGTTCCAGGCCACCCATGGTTATACAGTAAGACAGTGTCTTTTAAAACAACTACAACAAAAAACCTTACTGTGTAATTTACTTGGCCAAGAAACCCAATTAAAATATTTTTAGCTGGGTGGTAGTGGTGCACACTTTTAATCGCAGCATTCAAGAGGAAGAGGCAGGCAGGTTTTTGAGTTCAAGGTCAGCCTGGTTCAGGATAGTTAGGCCTACACTGAGAAACCCACTGTATACATTTCTATACTGCAGACCTGCCTATCACTTCTGAGCTGACTGGCACAGGGAGAGTAGCTAGTGATGGGCTACACAAGCCTGCCTATAATAAATAAATAAAAATAAAAAACATTTATTTTGTGAATACATGCATAAAGCATGACATACATATGGAAGTCAGAGAACAATTTTCAGAAATTGAGTCTCTCCTTCTGTTGTGTGGGTGCCAGAGACTGGATTCGGGTTGTCAGGTTAGCCACAGACACCTTTACCTGCTGAACCGTCTCGATGGTCTGGAACCCAGTTTTACTTTGTTCTGTAGTTCACCTCATGAGGATCTGGGGTTCTCTGTCCTATTCTGAACACTTGTGTTCGTCATTCTGTTCACTGCATGCATTCTATACCGCAGACAGAGCTGCCCACACTCCTGAGCTGATAGAGCGCCTAGCGATGGGCTGCATGGGTCTGTCTGCCTCTGTCTTGTGTGCACTTCTTTCCTCAAAGGTTGGCTTCAAGTATGTCGTAAAGGAAAGTTGTCACTAACTGCTGACCTTAAACTCTCTGTAGACACCAGGCTGCTTTTGAGACTTTGCTCTGCTCTGTGATTTTTGTTAACCTGTGCTCCCCACAGTGACAGTCCTGTCTCTCAGCCTTTTGTGAGACTAGAAATGCACTTAAAGGCTGAGCACAAAGCTTGCCCTCTTGTTCTCTGCTGGTGCTGGGTAGTGAGCCTACGTCACTGGTTAAAAACGGGATCTGCTGACTTGAGATAGTTACACAGCACAGGATGTTGTTAGCCTGAAGGGAGTGTCCCACGGGTCTAATTTTCCACTAACCTTTTAAAGACAAGTTTTTGTTTTTAATTACATGTATATGTGTGTCTGTGTGAGGGTATGCGTAAGTGCAGTACCCAAGGAGATAAGAAAAGGGTATTGGATCGCCTGGAGCTGGAATTACAGGCCACCCCACATAGGTTTCTGGGAACTGATTGGGTCCTTTGCAAGGGAAGTATGTTCTGCTAGGCCATCTCTAGTCCCTCCAAGTGTTACTGTTTTGAAGATTTATTTTTATTGTGTATGTCAGTATATGCACACACACAATATGCAGGTAGGTGCCCTCAGAGGCCAGAGGTATGAGATTCCCTTGGAGCTGGGGTTAGAGGTTGTTCTGACCCTCCTGGCATGGGTGCTAGGAACCAAATTGTGTACTCTGCAGGAGCAGTGTGTGCCAATTACTGAGCTGTCTCTAGCCTGTGTTGTTGCTATGGAACCTCACACCATACTCCTTGTCCAGGTATTTTCCTGTCTCAGCCTCCCAAATGCTAGTATAGTCACCACTCCTGGCTTTCAGTATTTCATTTTGTCAGATCTGTCATCTGTGTCCTCAATGACCATGGACAGTGAGCATGTATGAAAACAGTACAAAGCTTACCTGCCAACATCCCAACCCCCGAGAAAAGAAAGAACCCAGGACTCTCCTAAGCCTGTGCAAGGCTTCCTTTTCTTCCCTCCTTAAACAGGGTCTCTAGCCATGTATCCCAGCCTTTAACTACTGGTCCTGCCTCAACCTTCTGAGTGCTAGGATTTCAGCCATGTGCTACCACCTACGGCTCAAACTGTGTTTGAGATTTGTTTGTGTGGATGTGTCTGTTTATTACAAGTGTCTATGAGCAGGTGTGAGCTGCCTGATGGATGCCAGCAATGGAACTGGAATCCCCAGGAGTGCAGCAAGCACTAACTGCTGAGCTGTGTGACCTGCCCTCAAGCTATGGTTTTGAAGCAGCTATTTCTGCCTGTGTCGGGTTAGCTTACCGACTGTCTCTGTCTCTTTTGCCTCTGTGTCTTCAGTGCTTCTGACAACATTCCCAAGGCAGACACGATCCGGACACTGATCAAAGATCTGTGGGACACACGCATGGCCAAGCTCCGGGTGTCTGCTGACAGCTTTGTGCGGCAGCAGGAGGCACATGCCAAGGTAGGCATGGCTCTCCTATCTCTGCCTGGTGCCAGTGGGCACTGCTAGCCAGTGTGAGTGCTTCCAGGGAATTATAAGGGCACCCTGCCTGCTTAGCCATGTAAGCAGGGATTTGAAGTTGTGCTTTAAATAGGCTCATGGGGGGTTGGGTGTGGCTCTTGATAGCTTGCTTGGTGTGCACTGGGTACTGGGATTCACCCTCAGCACCCAGGAATACACAACTATTGGTTTCTAAGCTTCTGTTGAGTGAGCTTTCCTAAGATCAAAACTTACTTGGCTCACTTGTTTTTTGTTTCAGCTTGATAACTTGACCTTGATGGAGATCAACACCAGTGGGGCCTTCCTCACTCAGGCACTTAATCACATGTACAAACTCCGCACAAACCTCCAGCCCTCTGAGAGCACACAGTCTCAGGACTTCTAGCCAGAGGCCTATGATGTGCAACCCTTGCTGTCTGCTGGTGTCCAAGCTCTAGACCTATTAGGCACTCAGCTCTGGAAGCATGATGGTGGAGAGAGAGGTGTGCAACACGGGTGGAAGCCGTGAGTTTGCTACTCGTTTCTGTCAGAACCCAGCCACACTGCAAGTTCAACTTCCATCGTATGTGGAAACCACCACCAGCATTTCTGTCTAATGAGCACAGAGTCCTCTGCATACTACGCACAGCTAGTACTCAGGCCATTGTAGTTCAGCGTCTTCAAGTCTGACCTGTGAAAGCTGTATGTAGTTGAAAACTGGGGGGGGGTGCTAATAGAAAATGATTTTCCTCTTAACATGATTTAGGAAGATTTTATTTTTGGGATGTCAGAAATTACAGCAATATATTCATAAATACCTAATTACTACATTCAACAAATAATATTACAATACAGTTAATTCAAACAAGTACACTTAGAACGGGTTTAATTTCACAGCATCTAAACTGCCCCCAGAGTGACCGAGGCACCCGTCCTCCCTCCTGCCTGGGTCCGCTGCCCTAGCAATGAGGTGTAGGGCACACACAAGTACAAAACCAGTGAGATGCCTCCTCGGGTCAAGGCAGCCTCTAGGGTTGAGGTTAAGCACTGGATCAGACAGTGGGGACAGGCTACGGCAAGCAGTGACGCCAGAGCTTGACTACTTGGAAGAGTACAGACTGCTGCTAAGCGCTAATGCACACCTCAGAGGTGCTGAGCCTGCTGTGCGGGCCATCTCCATGCTGGGACCTGGTCAGAGGGCAGGGGAGGGAGGCATCTACGTTTGCAGTTCAGTTTAACTGAGATTTGGCAGTGCTGTGAGCATGGCTGCAATTCCCCACTGTTGGGGCAGCTCTCCCTGTGATCCTCTGGGTACCCTAGTGGTACAGTCTGGTGTGATGGTACAAGCTGTGGGTCTTTCAGGTACCATGTACTAAAGTGTTGACAGTCCTTTCTTAGTCACTCATGATGGCCGGTCTTGAATCAGTTTGGCTCCAATGATACGAAACTTTTTTCTTTAAAAAAAGATCTAATCAAACATGGAGCTATGGGATCTAACACTGTGTGTGTCTATCACAAGCTTGGTGAAATTTCCAGTCAGGACAGATGGCAACTATCCCTTGGAGGTGAAGTGGGAAGACACGGTCAAGAATTGGATGTACAGTATCTCATGTACATACTCATTTTACACAGTCCATCCTGGAGCAGATCTGTAGTGGGGAAAGGTTGGAAGACCTCCGGGGACTGTGTGTGGTACCTGGAAGATTGTACTGTGTTTTCCGCTTCATCAGTGTCTTAGACTATGTGGGATGGGAGGACCACGTGTGGTGGGAGTGGCACACTTGCCTGCCACCTTACTGGCTTGTACCCGATTCTGATTGTCATGTCACTTGTGAGCATGGGAATATTCAGGGCTCAACAGGCAGGCAAGGGCGTTTGTTTGGAAGGGACATAGGCATTGCCAGGCCAGTGGCTCAGCTTGTGCCCCAGGCCAACCTGGGAAGCTATCTCTTGCATGGTCACATACTCAGCCAGGGGAATTCCTATGAGATAATGGGAGGGGCTGTGCGCGTGCCCTTAGTTATGGGGCCTACTTTTCCCAAAGCATACCAAGCAGATTAGCAAAAGCTTCCAGTCTTCAGTGGAGTTTAGCCTAGGACAGGAAAACTAAACACTAAGGTGTGAGCACAAGCAGCATTTAATTGGGAACTTGGGGAACGCTGTGTCCCTGGGCATGCAGCCTCTGCTCACCTGCACACCATTTCCAACTGACTATGGGGCAGAGGCCTTAGCATTGCCTCTCTGCTGTTGCTCCTGTGCCAAGGGAGGGACTGCTGACAATACTGGTGGCACTATTCTTGTCCGAGTTTGCTAATGACTAGATTCTTGGCAGGGGGACTGCCAGCAAGCTGCTCTGTATCGCCATTAAGCCTGGTGGCCAAGGGTAGGCTCAGCTTCCTCTCCCCATTCTTATGGAGTGACAGCCACAAGCTCTGGCAGGGAGAGGCTCTCAAGTTGGTCAACCCAGCTGAGGAGCTGGAACTGGGAAAGGAGATAACCCAGAGCCCTCTGTCATAGCTGTGCCTGTCGCAGGAGCTCAGCTCCCGCAGCTTTACTTCAAGTTCCTGCTGCATGTGGGTCACTCTGATCTCAACAGCAGACTAGCCCCGAGTGCCCCTCAGCCCTGCCGTGTGGGACGCCGCATAGGTGAGCTCTACTTTCTAAAACTTGAGCACTTTAATGTCCTGACCAGCAGCAGCACAAACACTAAAAGCAGGTTGCTTTTTTTAACCAGAAAAAACGAAAACAAAACAAACAAAAAAAAAGGAACCCCCAAACAGGAAAAACAAACAAAATTCCCCAAACCACATATTAAAAATGGCAGGCTTTTTATAACAATAATTAAAGTAATAAAAACATACAAAACTTTTTTTTAATATATACACAGTACAAGGCTGAAGCACCTTTGACTTTTCTCTCAAAACATGTTTGTATGAAAACGCCACACAGCGGTAGCAATCCAGTGGGTGGGCTATCTGTGGACAGCTCCACTCATCTTCCCCAAGGAAAATAAGGTACCTTCGGGTGTGGGTTTGCCTCTTTTCCTAAGAGCTGTTCCAGGGAGAAGCCTTGACTAGCTTGCATGCTCCTAGGACCTGTGGCTTTGCCGATGGCGCAGGAAGGTGACCAATCGTGAGCCCTTGCTTGCATACACCCAGCTTTCTCAGTGCAAGTTAGTCTTCCTGGGAGGAGGAGGTAACTCCCAGGCCACAGCTAGAGCAAGCAGGGCTCTCGAGGCACAGCAACACAAGAAATAGCCAGTTGGCTCTCCCTTAGCCACATGCACGGTGGGCATCAGGGTTGGAGACAAAGAACATGGGGAAAGAAGGAATACAACCGCCATTAGAAAGAGAAACTGAGTCTTAGCTGAGACAGGTGACTCGAGGTGATGTCCTCTCTGGAGCCTGGAATTCTTTGTTTCATGCATGGCACGTTCTCAATTTGTAAGCTTCAAACCTCCCAGTGAAAAATATTAAATATTCAAGGTAATAAAATAGATAATATTTCTATGCTATAGGTTCAGCCTAGTGCAAGGGAAACCGTCACCTTGGATATCCCTTAAAGTAGCCCCTAGGCCAGTGCATGGTGGGCAAGGCAAGGCACTTCCGTAAGTGGTCCAGCTCCGCCTGGAGCCGCTCCCGCTCTGAGACCATCTTCTGTTTCTGACTCCGCAGCTCCTGGGGAGATGATGTGCATCAGAACACCATTGGTACATATGCCAATGTGAGTAACTTCTGGAAATTGCTAGAACATTCTTCCAGCAACATGTGCTCCTAAAGAACCAGTGTGTACTGCTGCCTCGGCTCAAACTTTGCCCAGGTCCCATCCCTGCACATGCCCCGCCCCCCCCCCCGTAAGGGCGGGGGATGCCTACTGTCACAAGAGCTTTGGGAGTGCGTGGCCTTGGCTGTCCTAGAACTGTTCTGTAGACCAGGCGTTGTAGACTCAGGTCCACCTGCCTTTGCTCCCCAAGGGCTAGGATTAAAGGTGTGTACTATCACCACCACCCTGCAAAATCTTTATCTCTAAAACAGGACAGGATCTCAGTATGTGGCCCAGGCTGGCCTCACACTCACAGATCTGCCTGTCTCCTGGGATTAAAGCATGTGCTACCATGCCTGGCATTAAGTTTTGATTTCTTAAGAGCAGGTTTCTCTCTGGGCCTGTAAAACGCCCCACATGCCTCACTCACCGCCATGCTGTGAGAGAGCTGTTCTGCAGTCAGGCTGAGGCTGTAGTTCTGTGCCTCCAACCGCCGGCACTGTGTCTGTAACACCTGCCGCTCCAGGTTTTGCTCTGAAAAAGACAAGAGGTGGCGATGCATCATCTTTGTATGAGGCTGTGTCTTCAACTGTGCGGCGTGTTCTTAGCTGCACCAACTACCAAATCAAGATGTATCCACTCAGTGCAGTGGAGAAAACCTGGAGCCAACAGGCAAGTTTAGAGTTTGGGGAAACTAACTAAATTAATGGCCTTCAGATGTATTTTTTAAACCAAGTTGGTGATGATGGTGTGACAGTTTTAACTGTTAGAAAAGGGCAGAGTAACTTTAATTATAATTAGCAAATTTCTGCTTTACCAAGACACTGCTATGCAGAGTGCTTCAGTTAAAGCTAAAATGATCCTAACAACAAAACATCAATGATGGAGCAACCAAAGTATGAAAAAGTTTTCTCAAGAAGGGAAAATAAACCTGGCAGAGGAAAGGCTTAGGCAGTTTCAAGTTTCACAACCAAGATAAGAACCCTACCTCTCAGGTCCCAGATGGTGCAATGGCAATGGCAGAAATACACAGACTGGAAGGTGAGGACCCTGCCTGTGACCTGTGTTAGTCTGTTAGGGCTGAGCATGGCTGTGACGCTTGTCAAGTGCACGACCACATGGCAAGGCTCAAGCCCTCGAGAGAGCTACGCTTGTGTTGTCATGGCGATGGAACTGCTGAGTTTGAGGGCTAGTTCTCCCATCCCACATGGAGAGAGGGAGTCAGTTAACAAGATCCTGAGATTCACATAGCTGCTGATGACAAGCCAGACACAGATGTATTCTCAGAATGACAAGGTCAGCACAGGGGAGTGTCCCAACAGCCTTCAAAAGACCCACAGGCCCCACACCCAGGATGGGAGCATTTCCTCTATTCCAATTCAAAACCATTTAAGATGCTACTGGGAGCCAGGCGGTGGTGGTGTACTCGGGAGGCAGAGGCAGGCAGATCTCTGTGAGTTCCGGGCCGGGCTGGACCGACAGCCTCCAAAACAATACAGAGAAACTCTGTCTCGTTAAAAAAAAAAAAAAGAAAGAAAGAAAAAAAAAAGATGCTACTGGGTCCTGTTTCTGCTTCTACATGTCTTAGAACAGAAACGGTAGGGGTGGGGTGGGGGTGTGTGTCACACAGGGATGGGATGGCAGCTGCTTGGGGAGGTGCTCCGACTCCCTGGTTGTCAGTTGGTATTTGTTTCAAAAATACCTTTCAAGGGGGTGCAGTAGCATATGCAATATTTACAGTTCAGTTGTGTGCCAATAAAGGAAAGCTAAGATATGGGAGGAAGTAATTGGCAGCTAGGTTAGCCCAAAGGCAGTGCCCCAGAACCTCTGGATACTGGGGAGACAACAAGGGAGTAGTATGTAGCAAACATGAGAGCAGTGCCCACCCTCACCCCTCAAGACTGTACAAACAGCAGAGCAAGGGATGTATGGGTGTGCTGGGGTATAACTCAGGCTGGTTTCAGGAAAAGCACCTAGAAACTTCAGAGAAAGGTGAGCTGCAAAGTATTCAAGCTCTTTCAGTGTGGGCTCACAAGCAAGGTAATTAGGACTGACCAGAGCTCAGCTACAGGTACAAACTAGGCAACATTCTGCCATCCCCCTTGAGCAGGGCCTCAGGGCTAGGGTGTGAGTATAGCATAGGCCTGCCCTGCAAGAAAATCAGTGTCTCAGTCCCACTCAAGCAACCTTGACTAGCAAGGATCCTGGTGGATCAAACTTGCTGATAGCCCCTCCCCCAGCCCCTACCTTCTATGTGTTCCTGGTAAGCTTCAAAGATTGCCTCAATCCCTTGCCACTGGCGCCTGGGGGCTTCCTCAGTTTCCTCTTCACTGTCACCTTCGTTGTCTTCCTCAGAGTCCTGGTCCACCTCCTGCACAGGGGGGCCCTTCCTCCCAGCAGGCAGCTCCTGTTGTCCATTGTGCTGGGGCAAGGGAACCCGGGTGGAGGACTGCAGCTCAGGAATGTTGTAGTGGACTGCCGTGTCAACCTTGTGGTTCTGCTCTGCAGATAGCACAGCCGAGCTCCCTGGGGAGGAGAAAACAGGATCTTGAAGGGCAGGGCTCAACTGAATGTCACCATGGAGAGAAGCATGTACCAGAGTTCCGATCCCATGGGCACATCTGTGATTTTGTAAGAACAGCCTCCTTCATGAGGTCAGAGGTGGTCCCTCTCTGGGTCAGAGGGACTGTCCCTCTTGCAGGAGGTGGCTCAGCCTTGCTGGTGGCCTCACCTGAAAACTAGTCAGTAATGTGTCCCTTAGATGTCACTTCAAAGAGTCCATCCATCCTAAAGAGCAGGGAGCAATCTGCTGCCTCTGGCCAAAGCACCATCTTTCCAATAAACTCACAAAGACCCAGTTAGCGCGTCTCTCCTGGGGGCTTTTCCTCACAGGTGAGGCAACATGAAGCCAGAGGTCAACACTGGTTTCTTCCTCTATTGCTCTCTGTTTTGTTTAGTCTGGCAGGCCAGCAAGCTTCAAGAATGCTGCCTCTGCCTCTAACCAGCCACCTGAGCTCTTGTCCTTGCTTCCTGGGCCCCAGCAAGCAGAGTCAGCTCAGTGACACAAACTATCTGTGAGCTTGGTATGAAGCCCTTAACATGGACTGGCTGGCATGGTCACTGAATTATTCCCGATGGGGCAGTGGGGCAGGAAAACTGCTATCCCTACAATCATGGCCCTGGGGGGGTGGGGTGGGCACACAGTACCTTGGCAATGAGCCAGAGGGATCTCCAAGTGAGTTTATGTGGGTGTTGGAAAGATCTTATTGGACTGCCATTTGCTAACTAAGCTGTGTGGTTCTTCAGCAGGTGCATTAGGCCCTGCTACAAGTCTGAAGGAGGCTGAGGTTCACCTCTCCCACCCCTCCATACCGAGTGAGAGAGACCTCTAAGTGCTTCATGGGCATTAAGGTTTGAGAGGTCTGTCACCTAAGTACTACTAACAGGTGACATGGGGCATGTGGCCTGTTACCTTTATGCTTCTGCAGAGCCTTCTGTGTTGACTGCAGTACTGACTCGTGGAACTGGTGTGCAAACTCTTCTGCCATGAAGGGTTCCCAAGGCTTGTTCTTTCCGTTGATGCTGTGGGACAACGGCACAGGAATGTCCTTGGGCGAAGCGCCCCGGAGATAATGGAGCATGCTCAGGCTCTTCTTGCCCCCAGGGGCCTCACTCAGCCTGGCCTTCTCACCGCCGGTAGGAGCTGGCTCCTGAACCCTCAAGAGCTCCTGGGGCCGGAGCTGTTCCAGTCTCCCAGTTTCCACGGCCTTTGGGACATCTGATAAAGAGGCAGGGACCCCGGCAGGTTGGTCTGTCTCCAGAGGAGCTGGCTGTGTGGCTGGTTCTTTGAGAGACAGAAAATGAGGGAAAGAAAGGTTATAAGTTGTGGAAAAATAGGCACAAAGGAGCCTGTTGATCGCTAGAGCTTACATCCACAGAAACTAAGAGCTGGTGGGAGCACCCTATGTTAGCTCTGAATGAGGTCAGAGTCTGAAGAGTAGCATGTTTAGCAGCAAGTCCAACTGTGAACAGTTCCCAGGAGACAGGTGGGGACAGAGAGCAGCAGGAAGCGCTGAGAAGGTGGGAGTAACTTCATCCAACTTAGGGAGAGCAGGTGAAGAGACAGCAAGAGGTAGGACCCCATGGCTTCAGCTTCCTTCAGCTGGAGAGCAGCAGAGAAGAGTAAGAGAGCAGGTGTCTGGAGAGTTCTGGAGAGCCAAGGGAGGGTCTGTAGCACAACCTCCGTCGGGGACAGCACTCCGGGGGCTTCAGGCCCATCCTCTGGGGGATGACAGCTGCTGCGCAGCTCCCTGAAGTCAGCGCCCTTCCCTGAACGTCACTGCCCACCTCCTAATTTGCATTGTGTCCTAAGGCCCTGCTCAACCAGGATGGTGGTGGACCACACAAGAGGGATGGAGACAAGCCCAGCTTCCAGCAGGTCAAGTTCACCACGAAGACAAGACTTGAGTGCCACTCTAACCCTGTGGCGCAAGCTACAGGATGCTTGAAGGAGGGGTGTCCTTCCCTTACCACTCAGGGAGATGGTAGGACTGTCCCTCGAGGAGTTTGTCACTGAGTCTGCTGCAGACAGTGCCCTCTGCTTCATGGCACGGAGCATTTCAACAAGCCTCTCTTTGTCTGTGAGGAAAGCAGCCCGAGGTTAGCAGTACTTCGGAGAGGGAGGAAAGGCGGGGTCTGGCCACCGTGATTGGCAAGTACAAGCCCTTTACACCAAGAGGCACCAAAGGCAAGCGCCATGGCTGGCTGTGCAGACAGGAAGAAGCAGGTGACAGCAGCAGACTCTCTTCCCTGCATGGTTCACACACTCCAGGCAGCCACATCTATAGCCACGAGTAGCAGCTGCCTGGGGCTTCCATGATGACTTCCTTCTTAGCAGATAATCTGATTGGAAGACCAGGGGTGGCCCCAACACAAGGGCACCACCCCCAAAGACCAGGGAGGGGGAGTCTATTCCCTGCCCAGGGTCCAAGCCATTTCCCGCGAAGGAGAGCAGACCCTACAGTGTTCCATGCCGCAGATCCCTGTTTAGGTGACTCTGCCAACTCTGAAACTTAAGAGGCGTTAGTGTTGATGGCGTCCTTTAGACACGAAGCCAGGTGAAAAGTCGGGCTTGCAAACAACTAGGCATGTGTCCAAGGGCTTGTGCTGGCAGTCAGCCCGTCACTAACCCTTGCTGAGAAAGTGAGACCTCCACCATGCTTGTTAAAAAACAGAAAAAGAAACTGCCACCTCCAATAAAGAAGCATGTCAAACCAACTGAAGACCTGGAGGCACTGTTTTCCTGGGACTCTTTCTGTAAGAGGACAGTGCCCTTAAGGGGTCCCAGACACACAGGAGCATGGCTGTGTATATCAACGCTTTAGCCCATGACAGTGGTGAGCCAATCAAGGAGCCTCAGAATGCTGTGGCCACGCCATGTCTTCCATGCTGTGGATTGCAGTTCCAAGTCTCTTCTCCAACATGGCCTAGGATAGCAGACTGATCTGGAAGCATCTTTCTGGGCAAGCTGCTGAGTGCTTACTATGCGTTGGCTTGGTAGCCACAGGCCACCCATATGGCTTGCTCTCCAGGCCTGCCAGCATCAAAACCAGTGTTCCATAGAGCTCACAGGTGTCCCTAAAGGGAAGGGCCTGTGGTATGCAAACCCTTAACACTCTACAACAGGAGGGAGGCAACACCTCCCATCGGTCCCAGCGAAAGCCCTGCAAGTACTCTGCCCTAGAAGCCCCCAATCAAGTGCGAGAGGTCAGAGGAGGGACTTGACCGGCATTGGTTGTACATACAGGCACATCAGTCATCACATCCAAACAGGACATATGCTAGAGCAAAGTGTGACAGAAACACCATGCGCTGGGCCTGCCAGAGCAGAGAGGCCACTCATTAGCCCACGCTACCCAGGAGCCCCCTGGCCTACAAATGCAGGCCAGAGCTAGGCCATACCTTTCCTCTTCTCTGCACTAATGTGCGTCAGGTTGAAGAAGGTCAAGAACTTCCTCTTCTCCTCGAAGTTGGGGCTGTTGTTCATCTCGTCGGGGCTGTAGCGGGTGGACAGAGCCAGCCTGGGGGAAGGCGTCTGCCGCTTGCTCTGAATCGCTGGTGGCGATGGGCTTCTCTCTCGCAGCATCCGCCTCCGCTTCCGGCGCTTCTGTGCCACCAGCTCCTCCTTCTGCTGTTGGGTGGTCAAGCCAAAAAGTTGCAGAAACTCTAGCTTCTAGATTGGGAAAGAAAACAGACAAGTGTGAAGCCATTGCCGGCGGTATAGCTTTTACTGCCCCCGGGGGTCTCGTGGCCTACAGTCTGACTTGGAGCTAGGCCACAGAGGAGCAGAAACAATGGCCTGCGGGGTCGGGAAGCCAAGAGGTAGACCCAAAGTGGGGACCAACAACCTAGCCAGCCCAGAGCACGCGGGAGTTGAGGAGGGTCGCGTTACCTCAGAGGATGTGTCCAGTTTGAGGGGTGGCTGCTCAGCCACGCAGCGGAGGTGTGCTCTGACCTCCTCCTCATCACTCTCATCGTAAGAGTCATCGAGGTCGTAGTAGTACCCTGATGGCAGAAATGGGTGCATTGAGCCAGGCTCAGAACCCAGGATGCTCCGTGGACACGTGCACTTGGGGGCATGTGAGTGAGACCATTGGGGCTTGGCCTGCTGGCGTCCATGAGAACCCTTGCTAAGAGGGCCTGCTTTCTTCTAGTCTGCCTGGACACCTGCAGCGACCTGGGGGTGGCGAGTACCCAGCTTCCTTGAGACTCACAGAGAATCGGGATCTTTCTTAGGCCAAAAGGGGAGCATTCCTGACAAAGGCCCGATGTCCCTGGCCGTGTGAACATGCTGCCCCTGTTGTGAGCCTCATGGGAAGGCAACTGAAAACCACAGAGCCCTCACATTCCTTTTCAAAGTGAACTGATAGAAAAATTCCAGCCAGGTCCTAAAGCTAGCATGACCAGCACTCAAGAAGATGGCTTCTATCACACCCAGCTAAAAGGAGCTAGGTACAAAACCAAACAGGCCAATCAATTCCAGAGGAGACAAGACTGGCCTGGGGCAGTCATCCCCATCAGGTCTGTGCCATGTCTACAGCCCCTGCTGGCTCTCCTAATCACGGGACCTTGGGGAGCTGTTGCTTCCACTTTTGGGAGCAGGAACAGTGCCAGCTGCTGTCCCTTATTCTCTGGTGCACATACCAGCAACCGTGACCAGCCCACGTGTAAATCCCTGCTGGGCTTTTCTGTTAATGTCACATTATTAATATTTAAAGACACCTGATTAGCCTCCACCCATCACTTATCAATAACGTGTATCTGCAGCACTGTCTTGTCACAGGCTGTGACTTGCCATTTTGGGATACTGTGCCTCACAGGAAGTCAGGCAAGGGGTCCTGCAGGTGTCAGGTTCAGAAGTCTGACACTGCTACCTGAAACCAACTTTTAAAAACTGCACTGGAAGCCGGGCGTTGGTGGCGCACGCCTTTAATCCCAGCACTGGGGAGGCAGAGGCAGGCGGATCTCTGTGAGTTCGAGGCCAGCCTGGTCTACAGAGCGAGTTCCAGGACACCCTCCAAAGCCACAGAGAAACCCTGTCTCGAAAAACCAAAAAAACAAAACAAAACAAAACAAAAAAAAAAAACTGCACTGGAGGCTTGAGCCGGAGAACAGTGAAGCAGCTGGCACCGGGATCTCCTGTCCTGTAAACCCCCATTCCCGAGCAGGTTGGGACCCATTCAGGAAGCCAGACCTTTCTCCTGAGCTTCTCGCCGCCTGCGCTCCTCCAGGTCCAGCTTGCTGACCAGCTTCCGGCGTTGCTGAAGAAACTCATCATAGATGTACGCTGGGTCAGGGCCCCTCGGTGTGGGGTGGCAGAAGGGAGAGCCTGGCTTCAGGGGCACACTGAGCTCCCCAAAGGAGGTCGCCTGGGAAAGGGAGGGCCGTTGCTGGCCCAAGATGGTCTGTGTTGATTTCTCAAGTTCAGCAAGGAAAGGCCCAGGTCCATGGGGAAAGGCCTGAGGTTCCAGGTTTCCTGTCTCCCTTGGCGATGGCTGGTATTTGTCCAATGGTGTGGCCTCGCGCTTCCGGGGCTCCTCTGTCTTCTCAGAGCAGTAGACACGCTCCACTTTCACCAATGGCACGGCAGCCAGACGGCTGGGCTCAAAAGCCGTCGGGTGGCTGTGCAGGGAGTGGCTCTCAGCCCGCCTCGTCTCCAGGGCATTGTCCATCAAAGACACTGGGTTCCAAAGGGCTGTGGGCACAGTATGGTGCTGGGGTTTGGGTGAGATGAGGGGTGGGGGCCCACCAAAGTGCTGTGGGGGTTCACGGCTGCTCTGGTCATGACGGTTTGGTCCTGGCCTAGAGAGAACATACTCAGCCGTCAGTGATGGGAGCAGACCTGCTCACCCGCCTCCCACAACACACCCAGGGTGGCTTGTTGGACGTACACCAGGCTGCCTGTGAGTTCAAATTCTTATGAGGAGAGTTCATCCTGCTCATTCCCAGGAGAGCCATTTCTTCCTGGAGGCGGAGCTCTGCTATCACAGCCCTTCCCCCAGATCTATATAGCATGAGTGGGAGGGCAGGCTATGGATGGGTGAGCCAGGGACACTAGCTTTGGGTGTCCACCTAGCCCAGGGACTTCCCACAGGAATGGTGGCTGTGCTGCTGCCCCCCTGTGGTCTCTGTGAGAACTGCAGCAGCCCTGTCTGTAGGCCCTTCTGGCAGTCTAGGCAATAAGGTGAAGTGAAAGGCTTCCTCTTAACCACACACTCTTGCCCAGTCTATGCAAGACCCTCAGCCCCCTTCACTATGAGAACTGTGAGAACTGCAAGCTTCTTTTTGCAGCAGGCTACTCCTGAGACACACAACTGGTCAAAATACAGAGAACAAAGTGACTTTTGGGGACCCAGTCCTGATAGATAGTCTACAATGCAACTCCTCCACCTAAGACCCAGGGAACACGGGAGAAGGGGTGGAAGTCTGTGAAAGTCACAGTTCCAGGACTCCTCTGGTAGGCAGTGCTGTCCACACATGATAGGGAAGCTGTCACCTAAACAAGACTTGCAATATTGACAACACTAGCTGACAAGCCAACACAGGGGGTTCTTACCAAGGCCCTACCACTATAGGAAGAGCTACAGGCAATGGATGACTGCTTCCAGAGGAAGAAATCTCCAGGGACAAACAACCCGATAAGTTATCCAGTCCTGAGTGGTCAGCTCTAAACACATGTATGTAACACAACATGGGTTGCCGTATGTGTATGTGTAATAATAAAGAAGAGGTCGTGAACTTGGCACGGGAGGGGGAGGGGTGGCGAAATGTGAAAACAGCACTCATGAATGAAATTGTCAAAAATCTTTAAGAATTTAAAGAGAGTCTTTGATGCACCTTAACAAGAGTCAGCCTACAAAGAGCAGTTTCAGGTGCTCTCCCAAAGCTCAGTACTTCTTTGAGGGTGACGTGGGCTGTTTACACCCATGCTGCCGCCCAAATGACCAAGAGCAGGGTCTCTGGAGGAGGGCCCAATGGGTCATGGCTAGGCTCCTGGGAGGCGGGGGCACCACTTAACACAGCTGCTAAGACTGTGCCTCACTGCTGCAGACTCAAGCCCAACAGGTAGAGTGTGGTCTGGAGCTCCTGTTCAGGCTTAAAAAAGCAAGCAACAGTTCCTAGTTAAGGGTACACGGCCCCGCCCCTCCACAAACCCTGCAGCAGCAGTGGCAGCAAGTGGGACCAGGCTGATACCTGCATGATGGATGGGGGGGGGCAGTAAAGATGGCCGAAGAGCCAGAGCACTCAGGCTTGACTAGCAGTGCTCAACAGAAATCTAACAGCTAGAGCAGAGTGTTTAAAACTAGTGAGGCCTCAAGAGTTGCCTCCTCCAGCCGTACAAGGTGTGGAGGGTCAGGGCTGGGCATCTTGGATACTTCCAATTGCTATCCTTTTTTAACATGGAGGACAGGGAGTAAGAGGAGCTGAGACTCATGTTGGCAGGGCAACCGTGTCCCAGACAAGAACAAAGATGCTCAAGGCTGGAGCAGCACAGAAAGCTGAAGCAAGACACAGATGGGCCAATGGCAGGGCAGACTCCCTCTCCCCATTCCTCCCTGACCTCTGACCCTGACACACCTGCCGGTGTGAGGCCCCACTCAGGACCCACCTGGTGCTGCTCTCAGGCCTGTGCTCCACCTCTGCGGGCACTGGGGGTCGGCCCAGGTCCAGGTGCTGCTCCAGCACCTGCTGCCGGAACTCGGACACCTGGGACTGGCGGTCTTCCTTCTCTTGCCGCAGCCGTCGCTGGCGTGCCAGCCACTTCTCTTCCTCGTTGGTGCGCTGGATCAGCAGTGCGGTGGCGGCACTGTTCCCCGGGAGAGAGAAGATGCCGTGGCTGGAGATGAGGCTGGGCACGGTATGGTGTGGGGCAGGCACTGGGTGCAGCGGATGCTGCATAGGCTTGGGTGCCTGTAAGCCCACATCCTTCAGCTTCTCTGTGGGAGAAAACACTGCCATTGGAGGATGCCAGCACTCTTGCCCCTGCTCAAAGCCCACGACTGAAGGGGTCTTGTAGAGCTTTCAGGAAACATGTCTCCTTCTGTGTGTGGTTGGTTCAGAACGCCTGGTAACATTTTTAGGACTCATGGAGACCAGTTGCTAGAACAGCCATAAGCAGCTCAACTGCAGGGATTTTCATGAACTAAATTACACGCGTAACAAGGTTGGGACGGCTCATGCCTGTACTCCCTACACTTGTGATGCTGACACAAGATATCACTGATGTGAATCTGAGGTAAACCTGAGTTCCAGGCTAGCCTTGGATACATATGTGACCTAGCTATGGCATGCAACCTTGATTAAAAAAAAAGCTAAGCAAAAAACAAGGTCAGATCTGGGTTATCTCAGTGGTGTAGCCTGGCCTATCTCGTGTGGCTCTGGCCTCCACCAACAGCATAGCAAAAGGGAGAGAAAAGCCAAGGTTCCAAAAGTGGTGACATTACTTCCCTCCCTAATGCTTCGGCCAATTATCCCTTCCTTTGGGGCTCCTGTTTCCACACAGGGTACCATGGCCCACCTCTTCCCAGTTTGATGCTCAGTGTTTTGCCAGCTGCAATGGGACAGCACCCCTCACACGCCGGCAGGTACCAGTGTTGCCCTCCACACACAGCTCAGCTCAGGTACCTGCTCGGGTTGGGGTGAGCTGCTCTGAGGGCTTGGGCCGCTCCTCAGTGGCATGGCCCCGGAGCCCATGCAGCTCAGCCACAGGCAGAAAGGTGGGCTCCAGCGCCTTGGCAGCCAGCAGGTCCTTCTCCCTCGCCCGCTGCTCCCGCTGGCGCTCCAGCTCCCGCTCCCGCTCCTTCTCCCGTTCTCGCTCCAGCTCCTTCTCCCGCTCCTTCTCCCGCTGTTCCCGCTCGCGCTCCTTCTCCCGCTCTCGGTCGGCCTCCCGCTCACGTTCTCGCTCCCGCTCTCTCTCCCTCCGCAGCTCTTCATCCATTTGTAGCCTGGGGGACAAGCAGAGGGCAGCACGCTGAAGGGATGTGCAGAAGGTGCAGGTCCATGCCCCAGCTCAAAGTGGGACCAGCCACATGCAAACCTCCCTCCTCGGGCCCACACATGGAGAGCCCCCACCACACACACACAGTGCCTCTGGGCCAGGCCCTGCTGACGGACTGAAGCATGCTCTATGGTTGCCCCTTTGCTCGAAGGCACGGCTTACCTCTCTGCACTGAGGCTGGACATCCGTTCCGAGTGCAGCGCTGCCAGGGATGAGTGTGAGAGCTCAGGTGGGTAGCGGACCCCAGAGAGGTGCAGGTGCATGGCTGATGGGTGCAGCGGAGGCAGGGAACCAGGAGTGGGGATGGGGTAGAACGGAGACCTTAAGGCTGACAGGCAATAGGAGTCATCCATCCTGTAGAGGAAGATGGGACTGGTGTGGGTCATAGCCACAAATGGTAAGCCTGCCTAGCAGAGGCAAGGCTCTGCACCGACTCCCTAGCACCGCAGGAAAAAGGCTAAGACCCAGGCAGGCGACAGGGGCTTATGCTTCCCTGCTGGGTGAGTCTACTGTTCAAGCAGGCTCAGCTCCACAGAGGCTGCAGGCAAAGGCAGAGGCCACTAGGAACTGACCACATTGGCACCAAGGACCTCCCAGATCCTGGGTAAGTAGGAAAGAGGGGGCAGACCGGCTGCGAGCAGAGGCCTCTGGTGTGACACTGTGACTAAAGGCCAGTCAAGCTGGGAGCTTCTGTAGTAGGAGCTCACGGCCTGACTCACCAGGGTCTCCGTCACTGTCTGGCCACACTCACTGCGAATGGTTCCTAGCTGCCATGAGGCCGCCATGGAGAAGCGGGAACTGGGGAGCAACAGCAGGCGGCTGCAGGCTCATCCACCGCCACTCGACTGAGGGCCAGCAGATATGCTTGGACTAAACTCAGCTGGGATCTGGGGAAAGGTAGGGGGACGGACCAAGTCTCCTTTGGGTGTCTGGCCTCAGGCCCTGGGAACACCTGACCTGAGAAGTTCTGTCTTGCTGAGAACAGATAAGCGTGTGGACAGTGTGTGAGTGTGGCAGGCCTTACCTGAAGGCCGGGTGGGGGAACGGGTGTGGGGCCAGGTAGCTGGGGTGGTAGTAGGCAGCAGCGGTGGCTGGGTCCAGGCCAAGTGGAGGCAGGGAGGACATGCGTAGGTCCTCAGCCGTGTGGTAGGGTCGGAAGCTTCTCAGGTAGTCCTCAGTCACCGTGCTGGGGGGTACCACGTGATGCACAGGCCGCTGGAGGCTATGGAGAAGAGGCGGGAGAGTGGAGGGTCCACTTTGATCTGGGAAACATGTCATACTCCCCAATGGTTCGAGGCCGCTCCTGCCTCTTCACCTCCCAGCAGGCCCAGGTCCTGCCTCTTTATAATGAGGGTCAGCTCCGGCCCAGATACACAGAAGGGCAGCTGCCAGGCCCTCAGACCTATCTGGCCCTTAAAGTCCCCACCAGTGGACGGACACAGCTGCTAGTGGGACTCTCTGTGCCCAGACTCAGAGGATGGGTTTAAATGTGGCTAGGGAAAGTGTTAAGTCCCAGCATAGAGTGGACCACGAGCTCAGATGGGGCCAAGGACTTCAGGGCAAGCAAGCCAGGGGCCACCAGCGGCGCCCTACATCAGCTGGTGCCGACGCCGAGCCTGCCCGGAGCCACTCTGCGGCCTCCCTAGCCTGGCACTTACTTGAGTGGTTGGAAGCGGGAGTCTTGTACAACTGAGCTGGGGGAGAGGCCGAAGGGGTATGGGGTGCTGAGCAGGTGGGAGGGGATGGCTGGGCCTGCTGCCTTCTCCTGAGCTAGAGGGGGCTCCACGAGCAGGCGCTCCCGACCACTGCTGCTGCCTCGTGAGGCAGAGTCCTGTGGGAAGAAGACACAGCATTAGGGTGTGGGGAGCCAGCCAGGTCCAGAGAGGCCTCTGTTTAGCTCATATATCATAGAAGCATCCTTCCTCTAAGGTTTTCTTTACCAAAAAAAAAAAAAAAAGTCACAAAAGAGGTATCTCTGGAGAAGGCATGGGGTAAGGAAAGTGTGGCTTCCCACAACCAACCCCACATGGGGTAGTCACGAGGTCTCAGCACAAACACCCTGGGGACCTACAACTTAAGATGCAGCTAAGCTAGCAGCTATCCTGGACACTGGGGACACTCTTTCGTACATTTGGGCTGTGGGACCCCAGGAGCAGTCCGCAGTAGCCCCAGGGCCTGGGGAGAGCCAGCCTCACGCTGTCCTGTACACAGTAGCATCCAACCTGGAGGAACCAGACCAAGCAGCCCTGCCTGCCTGTGACTAGGAAGGAAACCAATGAGGACACGGGAAAGAGACACACTGAAGGCTAGGAACTCTGATGACACCAACTACCACAGAGACCCCGCACCATTCTCAGGCCCCTCTCTCATCCTTCAGGACAGAGGCCCCGCAGGAGCAGCCAGCAGTACTCATGAGGGACACCAGGCCCTCGGGCTGACACTTGCTGAGTCTGTGGTGTGACTGTTAGGCACATAGTAGCCGAGCACAGTAACGCCGGCTGTCCCTGGAGACAGGCCTGCCAGCTCTTCCTGGACTCATGTCTTGCTGTCCAGGACAGTGAGTGGTGGCACCCCCAAGTCATCTAGCACTGTGAGGGTGACGGTCACTGCTGTATCACCAGCTAAGCCTCTGTGTGCGAACTGAGGGGGCAGGTTTCCACAGCACCTTCGGGCTCCATTCTCGCAGAGCCTAACACAAGCCCTCCTGCTCCCCAGACAGCCCGCCACGATTAAGTGAGGAAGACAGGCTGCTGATTGAATTTTTAATGAGCAGCAACATCTGTTTCCTTCCCAGAGTATAGCAGCAGGCTGTCTGGGCTCCCGGTGGGGTCCTCACGGGTTCATGACCTCTGGCCTGCCCTTCTCAGGAGGGGCATTCACACAGTGACCATAAAGGTGGGGGGCACTCATCCCACCCACACCAGGACAAACAAGGAGACTAGAAGAACGGCCATCAGGCTCTAACCAGGGCCTGGCTGAACTTGAGCCAGACACCAGGGACAGGTCATCGGGAGCTAGGGTGCTGCACGGGTCATGGGGAAGGAAAAGAGCAGGCTTGGTGGCCGTCCCAAGGCACTGCACGCCTGGCTGTGGCAGACAAGACACATCTGTAGCGCTGCTTGACACAGCTGCATCCACGAAAGGCAGCGGCGGGGGGAGGAGGGAGCTGTCATTCTCCAGTGATTAGAGCAAGGTCTCCACAGTCGGGCAAGTGGGACATGCCTGTTAGCTTCAAAACAGACCGTTTTCCATTTCATCTCTCCTCGCGCGGCTTCCACTGCCTGGTCACCCCTGGAGCAGGGCCCTGGAGCCTCCCCCCCTTGACTTCCAACAGTGGATACAGCCTCCAGAGGCTGCTAGTGACTCCCGGCCACACTGCAGGGAGAGCCGCATCCCCGCCCTCCTGGAAAGGATTAAGCTCTCTGCTGAGCTCTAAGCATCATCTGCTCATCCGCCGCGCTTGTCGCCCTCCCTGGTGGCACACAGGTCTCATTAACTGCAGCGTGAACTGCTGGAGCAGAGCCATCACAGCTTTCTCTGGGTTACTAAATGTTTCTGAGGCGGTAAGGACCCTCTGAGGACAGTGACAGGCTCCAGGCAGAGGAGTCACGAGGCAGAGGCACAGGGACAGGGGACATGCAGGCACACATGAGGTGTCTTGGACCTGAGCCAGGGGCTCCAATCAGTGGAGGCTCCAGGCTCAAGGGAGGAACAGGAAGTGACCTCCTACAAGCTTCTATCAGGGGTGGACCCAGAGCCGGCTAGCCACCAGGCAAGCCGGCTGCCCAGGGAAGGGAAGCTGTATGGAGGAGCGGACTCATTGTCTGAGGTCAAGGCTGAGCTCTGGGAAGAGTCCACAGACAGGAGACCATGGTGACAACTTCTCTGACCTCTCTTAAATCAGGATAGGATGGTTCTAGGCTTCTCTAAGCCAAGCTGAAATTCAGGGACAGACTGACAGACAGGCTTCCTGTGGCAACTGCTACTCTAGCCGTAGGAGGAACGTGCCAAAGCTGGCCCCAAGCTTCTTTCAGGAGTCTGCCGGATGCTGGGGGTCAGGGGAGGGCACGGACACCCAGCAGACCGGTGGGGCAGATGCCTATCCTGCCCCAGCCCAGCTGGGGAAGAGATGCTCTCGTCCCCTCCCCCTCCATCTTTGTGGTTTAATTAGTACTTCCTAGCAGTACAATCCCTCTGGGAATGGGGCTGGAGAATCCAGGGAAAGCCACAGCTGACAGCGGTTCTTAATTAGCCAGGCCCCTCCAGGCGCCAGGCGGGTGGGAGGCCCAGCAGAGGAAAGGAGAAGCTGCAGGCAGCGGCTCCTCCGGTCCAGTTAGCTTAGTATGTGGCCAGCTGGGAGACTGCAGATGCCTAAGACCCCTCACGCTGGGACCAGGGACTATCAACTGGCCTACACTCTCGTCCCTACTCCCCAAAAGCAGTGACAACTATTGTCTACTCAGAGTCCCAAGGCTTAGACACCACCTTAGGCACTTTATGGTATCTCAGCCTGGTGCCTCTGAGTAAGTATGTCTTCACAGACCCCTGAAGAAGTGATTACAGTCAAGGCCACCAGAGGACATACCATCCCCTTCCCTGCCCCTCACGCTCTGGCTTCCTAAACCAAGAAACATGTGTGAATGTGTGTGTGTGTGTTGGGGGGTACTCTGTCACAAGACTGATGTTAGGGTTACCTTAATCCTAGCATCTTCCAGTACTGGGTGCATGTCAAGCCTACCTTCTACCTTGCACAAGAGTCTAGAGGACCAGGGTGAGGGGCCAACCCTGCCCACAACCTCAAGTTCCTGACCGAGCTGTGGACAGAAGTCAACTCCCTTCAGGGACATTCCCTGCCCCCATCATGACTACATCTCTGAACTGGGCCACTCACCTGGCGGCTCTCGCTTCTCCAGACTCCATTGACGGTTTTGGTGGGCGCAATAGTGACCACAGGGGGAGTGCTGGGGACACTGTGACCCCCAGGGGGCACAATGATGGGACCCATGGGCACTCTCTTGGGCGTGCTGGCTGGAGAGCTGTGGTTGGTAGCTGGGGAGGACACCGGGGACGATTCGCTGCTCAGTGAAGACCCTGTAGAAAGACAACACGGAAGCTCAGGAGCTACGTCACTGCCACACTGCCCACAGTACCCACACTTCTGCAATTCCAGAACTCTCCCTGGGAGTGAAGCCCCAGGTGGCCAGGCAGGGAAGAACCCACAGCTATTCCGCATGGGCTCAGGACCCAGTAACGCTAGCCACTCAGTATTGACTCTCTGCACCCAAGGAGGATGGGAAGCAGAGGCCAGGTGTGGTCAGCAGCCTGGTTTGCTTAAGTACTGGGCAGCTTTGCTGGCCTCCCTCTCAGACTGCCTCTTAGGCCTGGAGGTGGACATCTATTTTTAAATTTAAAAATCTGAGATGTAATTCACTATTTTAAAACCATGCCAATGTGCTTCAGTTATATCCACCATATTGAGTGAATAGTAGAATATTTCCATCCCAGAAAAACGTAACATCCCTTCCCCAGCAGCAAAGGGAGGCAGGTGTGTATATGTGGGTTTAGTTCTTGGGGTGTCAGTTCTATTGGGGCACAATAGTTTGGGGATGACCTCAGTCAGATGGCCAATGCTGACACTGGGACCCAGCCTTGCTCTGTGCCAGCTGACATGGGGCTCTTCCCTGGGGCAATCCTGCCATCTACAGAAAGAGCTGTGTACACAGGCACAGAGAACCTCCTCCAAACAGTTCCAGCCAAGCAGCCCTCTTGTTCACATGCCTAACAGGGCCAAATCCAGGTGGGCAATGAGGCCTGAGGGCCACAGCCTAAGGAAGGAGCCCACCCCAACCCCCAGTTCTCAAGATGGGCAACAAACCCACAGCCCATGCCCTAGGAACTCTGTAGTCCCTGTCCTAAGGCTGGGCAGGGCAAACTCTGCCACAGTGACGGTCCAGGGAAAAGGCTTAGAGACACACTGGCTTAGGAGGCCAGCTTCTGGAATCTGCAGCTGGCAAGCCACAGGGCTGGTGCAGCCAGGCCTGGGGACTGACCCTGAGGACCTTGGGAACAGGCTAGCTACCCCACCATTCATGAGTCAGGGGACAGCTTGGCATCGTAAGCCTCCCTGGATCCAGTAAGGCAGGCACCCCTCTGGGCAGCTGGGAAATCCTGCCGTCTTCTAAGAGGCAGACAGCAACACCCTAGGGCTGCAATGCCAACCTGGGTATGTATGTGTTCAAAAGTGACAGCTCCTGACAACCACAGAACGTTGAGAAAGTCTGATATGAATCGTGCCTGCAGCCAAAGGCTGGCTACACCAAGTCCCATCCTGGTCTGTTCTATAACAGAACGCCCCTGACAAAGCCTCCAGTCACTCATGAGAAGCCACCAGGAGCAGAAAGAGCCAAACTGAGCACACGCACTGTGGGGCACAACCACCTTGTTCAGGACACAGTAAGGCAGGAGCCAACTTTCAGACAGGGTCTTACTATAGTCCAAGCTAGCCTGGATCTTACCATCAGGTGTGTCTTCCCATCCCAGGCTTAAAAACGCAATCACTTTCAATTAGTTTTAGGAATTATAAATCTCCCAAAACAACAATCTGCTTGGTTTTGTCTGCACCCTTCCCAGGAGACCCCATGGTATTGTACACTGTCCGTTTCTGCAAATGTTTGTGCGTAGGTGCACATGTGTGCTAATGTGCATGCAGTGACCAAACTATGACGTTGGGTGGATTCCTCAGGAGCACTGTTTACTTTGTTTTTAAGACAGGCTCTCTCATTGGCTGGAGCTCACTTGTCAGGCTAGACAGAGAATCCCAGGCCTTTGCGTGTCCTCACTTCCCAGTGCTGAGATTAGGAGTGTGAGACCCCATGGCCGGCTTTAAAAATGTATGTTCTAGGGCTCACACACGTGTCTACAAGCATTTTACCAACTGAGTTATTTCCCTGGCAACTCTCTCTGGAGCCCCGGCTGGTCTGGACTCATGGCAATCCTCCTGCCTTAGTCTTTTGAGCCCTGAGATGAAAGGCAGAGAACCCTCCAGCAAAGCAGGATTGCACGCATCACCACCATCAATCTGAGACCATTTTTACAACCTCCAAAGAAACGGGCGTGCCACCCTTAGCCATGCCTGCTCGACCCCGGCATACAGCTTTGCAGGCCCTGGGACTCCCTGGCCCCTTCTCCTGCTGTATGGTGTCTCCTGCACTAGAACGCCATCCATGCCTCAAGTTGCTGACCCTCCCCGAGGGGGACTAGTCACCAGTTTCTCAGCCAAAGGACAGGAGCCTGGGCCTACCTGACACCTATGTGAATAGTAGCTACCTCACACTGCATAGACACTAACACAGGAGCAGGGAGCGTGCTATCTGCATGCTGGAGCGGAAACAGTTAACACCTCCACACAGAAGGCCACCAGTAGCCTAAGCACAGGCTGTTTCATACTGCAGAAGCTGGGCCACAGTTGAGGATAGGTAGGTGGAAGGGACCCTTCTCAGTGTGCCTCAGGCCAGTAAACAGGGATCCCCAGGCCCTTTGTGCCCAGTTTGCATGGGAGGAACCTCCAAGACAGCCAGCTCGGCTGGGCCCCGCCCTGTCCCACCCCATCCTAGAAAGGCAGGTAGAGGACTAGCGCAGGGCAGCGGCTGGTGTGGGGCTGGCTCACAGAGGATGAGGCTGGCCATGGACAATTAGCAGCCTAATCCCATTGGAGGTGGGAGGCCAGCGCTCACCAGCGAGGGCCTTGGGATCAATACCTCACAAGGCGCTGCCAATTAGTGAGGCTGGCGCCTGGCTCCCAGCCCTGTGCTCTCGCTGTGCTGCCGGAGCAGGCAGGTCCGCCATCACTGTAATTAACCGTCGCTATTCAGCCGGAATGGCGGAGTGGGTCAGAGAGCTGGAGACAGCCTACAGATGAAGAGGCGGACGGTGCCTGCATCACCTCTGCTGCCTGATCCCACAGATCAGGCCGAGACCCTACGGGCAGCGCATGCTATTAACAGCTGAGACCCCAAAGGCAAGAGCTTGGGCAGCCCTGGCCAGGTGGCACAGATTTGAGCAGAACCGTACAGCCAACCGCTGAGCACCAAGTGCACGGTCCCTCTCCCTGAATGCGCACGTGCATGTTTATGTTTGTGTGGGTGTGGGGGGCGATTTCAAGTGTTTTCTTTAATTGCTCTCTCTGTAGTTACTGAGTCTCCCATTGAACCTGGAACTCAGCTGATGTGACTGGCTCTGTAGTTATCGAGTCTCCCATTGAACCTGGGACTCAGCTGATGTGACTGGCCAGCTGGCCCAGGCTTCCTTCCACCTCTGCCTCCTACACAGGTTCTAGAGAGCTGAACTCAGGTCCTCACATGTGTACAGCAGGCACTTTATCCCCAGCTCCCAAAGCCCAGCCAATGAGGAACACAGGAAGCGAACCCTGTCTATCTGGGGCTTGACTGTCATCTGTAGCACAATACCTTGCTCAGTGAGGGAAAGGAAGAGCTGTTGAACCAATAGGATCAGAACAGGGTATCAGAACAAGCCCTTGACTCCCAAGGGCGGGGGGATCTTTTCCCTAGTGGAGCTAAAATCCCAAGGATGGCCTGAACAGACACAGCCCCTCCCCACGTGACGGAGACACAGGTAAAGTCCAGAGGGTTTCCAGTTCCAGCCTTTGCCAATAAAGGACCTACGGAGTGCCCCCAACCACAGGGCAGGCGAGCCCAGAGGTCCCTGTATCCGTTTCTACGGTTACTGGCTGTCCCTGGCCAGCTTTGACATAGCCTCTGAGTGGGCGGAAGCTGCCCTGCTATGCATCCCAATGCCAGGGTCATTCGGAAAGTCTTCATGGGAAGCCACGTTGTCCAGGCAGTCCGCTGGGCCTGCAGCCTGATTTCTGCTGGTAGAGGGGGCTCCCGTATCTCAGGGGCTGTTCCTCTCTTCCCTGTAGACTGAGCTACTGCCATCAGCCAATTTGGGGTGGGGAGGTTATGTCAAGGGACAAGAAAGAAAGTCCAACCAGCTCTATGGCCAACTTCTACTCGAGTAAGGTGAGTGCCAGCAGCGAAGGGCCTAGGATCAAAGGCATAGTGACGAGCACCAGGCAGGGAAGCCCCGTGGAGCCCCCACAGGCTCCTGTGTGGTACAAACACCCAGGCATGCAGCAGCAAACACTAGAGATGGCATCAGACATGACGGCAGCTTTGAGGACCACAGCCAAACAGAACCACAGGGTGGTGATACACTGCTGGACAGGCCTCCCTCCTGCTCTGCCAGCAGGTCTCCACGCATGGTGCAGACCTGAGGCTGGGTGGCCTTCGTGCCCAGCTGTGTTGGCAGGTGCTGAGGTCCTGTACCCAGGGCCAGTCATTAAACCCAAGTCAACAAACAGGAAAGTGCTTTGACCTCAGAGGAACACTTTCCAGGGCTACTTGACAGGCAAAGAACATGACTTACAGCACCAGTCCAGAAGAACGGAGGTCAGGAGGAGTCAGCAAGAGTCCCTTGGGTTGGGCTCTGCCCCAGTGCCACCATGTTGGGACACTCCAAAGAGTGGAGGGGGTGGTGTAGACAGAGTGAGGAAGGGTAGACAGCAGAGGGGCCTTGGGGACGGGATGTCATCCTGTCATCAGCCTGCTTGCCTCCTGTCACCTCTGGGCCAACTGTGGCTATGGACTCTTTCGATGATTTTTCCTGCCCTCCCTGGTCTCTTGCACAATTGCTAACCCCACTGCTCACACCTGAGCCACAGACAGATGGGGCTCCAGACACCCTCAGAGACGCCTCCACCCTGCCAGCCGCAGACTGACAGGCAGGCAAGCATGCCAAGCAGGCCATTTGTTTTGTTGTTTTCTTTGAAAGAGGCAGATTTCCAAGGAGATGCACATAGGATGTGTTGCCTCCACCCAGCCCACCCTGTAGCAGACACGTAAGCAGGTGGGAGCTACCAGGACTCAACACAGAGGGATGGTGCCCAGTTTCTGCCTCTCCTGGGACTGAATATGGATTTCATCCACTACCCGTGGTAACTGGATACCCCCGGGTTACAAGGCCTGTGACAAGTCGGGCAGGCAGCAAAGACTACCAGAAGGCTCAGAGCACTGGGGATACCTAATCAGAAGTTTAGCCACTGCAGCCGACCCTTGTCACTCTGTTCCCCCGCCCCCGGTGACAACACAGTGAACAGTATGTATATGAACATTCTTTCCCCCATGTGCTTACAAGGAAAGAGGGGGCCCAAGGCCCCAGGTGTCCTAGAACGGAGGGTGCACGCAGCTCTGAGTGCTGTGTGGGCCTCCCGACAATCAACTAAGGACATGTGGGCTCCCGTTGCAGCCCCACCCCCCTCAGCAGACGGCACCAGGGCCCCATGGGAGATGAGCAGATTGTCACACAGCTTGGGCCCTGCCTGGCAGCACCCGGCTTTCTCTCTCACAGGTGGGGGCAGTGAAGGGGGCTCTACAGCTTGCTCTCCACAGAGGACAGAGAGACTTTGCCTGGGCCGCTCTACTGCCTATGGGGCCAGGCTGGTGGTTTGAGACGTGGCGCCAGGTGTGAGTTCCCAGGTTTCCAGGGGCTCCCCGTGCCCCTTACCCAGTAACTTAACAAGTCCAAACACTCTGAGGACCCTTGCTCCTCTAGGAGTTGGGAAGCACAGAGAGATGGAGACCCCCTCCCCCCACAGGGCAGCAGGACAGGGCTGACAGGTGTGCCCAACACCAGCCTCCTGAGCCGGGCTCTGACACTGGGGAAGATGAGATCTGTGCTGAAGAGCCTCTGGTGGGGGAAGGGCAGTGCCACTCTGAGAGGCTGAGTCCCATCCTGTACATCTGAGAAGCTATAGCTGTCACAACACATGGATGGGAGCAGCTTCAGGACTGTTGAGCAGCCTGGGGACATCTTTTGGAGTCTGCAGTGAAGTGGCTAGGGCATGACAGACCCAGGGGTCCGGTCTGGGGAGGGCCTTACTTAAACCCGTAGCCTAATGCTCCTTCCAGAAACCAGAATACAAGCTGGGATGCTCTCTGTGTCCTCCTCCCCCCCTCCTAGGAAGTCCACACGTGGTACCACAGGGAGGCCGGAGGAGATCAGTGGGCCTGTAGCTGCCTAGGCCTGACCAGGTCAAGAGAGCCACTGCGGTGGGAACATTGGCTCACTAGACTCCCCTAGGTATTCCTCAGTGTAGAGACTGAGGACATTAGCACCGGTTTGAGCCTGGAATGCAGGACTACAGTCAGGGGCAGTAGGACTGGGAGGTGGTGACAGGGACAATCAGGGGCCCCAGAGAGAGCAGACAGGGAGCAGTCATCAGGGTCACATTTATTGCACAGTCTCTGTCCATTCTGTATGTTCTCACTAGACCAGACTATACACTAGAGGCAGTGAGCTCGCCCTAAGGAAGAGCAGCAGCTCAGAGAATTAAGCCAACCTGCCAGGGCACACAGTCAGTAATTAAAGGTGCCCGGATGTGCACTGGACCTGGCTGGGCTAACTGAAGATAGGCTAGGGCTCCCACCTGGCCCAGCTGAGTGTGACTGAGCCCATACCCTGTGATACCCCCATGGGGCCCATGGAGGACTTGGGAGGGGCTGGCTTCTCTTTTCTCTCCTCCTGCCTTTCTCTCGGGGCAGAGCAAATGAGACGGCATGCTGACTGCAGCGTTGTCTGGATTGAATTTTTAAACTGTACCCTCGAGACAGGATGAAGACAGACATCAGCCATGGAAGCCTAGGCGAGCACGGTCAGATGGCTAAAAATACAACAGTGTTTCCCAGGAAGGGTGGGCATGGGGCAGAGCTTGGGGGGGATGACACAGAGCAAGCCCCTGCAAAGGCAACAGCACCGCTCCGGAAATTCCGCCCCCCCCACTAAGATCCTTCCACTGCTGGAGTGGGTCAAGAGCCACCACAGGCTGTCAAGCTAGACAGCTCAGACGCCTGTCTTGTGGGGTCCTCAGAACACAAGCCCGGAACTACCTAAGATCAGTGTCCTCAATCTTCAGACTCAGCTTCCTCTCCCAGTGACGCAGACAGAGGATGGAGAGTGATGAGACATCGGGTGTTGGGCCCAGTGAGGGCACATGGCCCACCTGCCTGCCTTCCCATGTGATCAGCACGGGAAGGGCGGATGAAAGGATGGAACAGCTAGGGTAGGGACTACATACATGGCAGACGCATGACCCCAGTCTGGCCCTATCAGAGCAGGCTAAGGGGCTGGGGACTTGGGGCTACACAGAAAAACCCTGCCTCAAAAGCAACAACTACAAACTTGAAAATATGGCTTGGGAGTGAAGTAGTCTGGGAGCACCTGCCTGGCAAGAGTTTCGAAGCCCAGGAGGCAAATTCAGCCCTCCCAAGCCGTCGGACCCAGTCCCCTGCACCACGCTGGTGGGCACTGAACAAGGAGCTTCCTCCTTCCATAACTGCTTGAGATTCCTAGTTCTAGCTCTTCAAGTCCTCCAAAACTTCTCAACAACTGGAAGCAGCAGGGAACAGGAGGATTCAGTACTATTGACACTGAACTCACTATGTGACCCCTCTAAACTTTAGCTTTAGTATTTGTATGACACACCATCCCAGTAACGCTACCAAGTCAACAGCCTGGTCTGAGTTGAGGTGGTGAATGGCTAGGGGTCCTGGCAACACAAATGAGGACGAGCAAACTAGGGGGTAGGCCTTCGCCTCGCTGTGCTGTCAAGATGCCCGCAGTTTCCAGCAAGTAGCCGACAAAGAGCCTGGCCTGGCTGAACATCAGAGTCACTGCCAGGATGTCCCGGGGTTCCCATAGACACCAAGCACCCCGAGCCTGAGGTTCCCATCTGCACATGGGGAAGACTCAGGAGACAAGCCAGCGGACACAAGCCTTAGTCAGCAGCACGGCTAGCCCCATCCGTCCTGTCCCAATGTGGCACAATGTTCCTAGGCACCAGGTGCCCAGGTCACAGCCAAGAGAGGGCAGGCTTGGTGGACGCTGCACCTGCTGTCCACCGTCTACCCTATTTCCATTCACTGAGGCCCGCAGTCTCTGGCACTCGGCCTGCCAACTGGCCCTAGGATTACGCTGGATGCTGGGACAGCCCAGGACAGCAAACATGGTCAGCTTCTTCCTCAGGTTCACCAGAGCCAGTCTAGCACCCAACAAAGGTGGGCTGGCTCAGAGAGGCCTGCACTGGGTGGAGGTGGGCACCGTCCCTCCTGCTCTGGCATCCCTACTGCCATTCCAGCCATGCCTCCACCTCTGCTTGTACCCAAGGCAGAGAAGACTGGGAAATCAGGAAACCCTGGCCTCCACATTCAGAGTATACCTCCATTCGTTCCTCTGCAAGAAGCCTGAGTGCAAGCCAGGCCACTGATGGCCCCTGCACCATCCCCGGGATCTGGGCCTTGGGACTTTGAGACAAAGCAGACTGCACCTGGGTTCCCATGCTTTGGCTACCTGCCCCTGAGCAGTAAGTCCAGGAGGTGCCAGAATCCAAAGGGCTCAAGTGTGCAGGCATAAACTGACCCATCTGTGTCATTGGCAGTCCCCGACCAGCATAGCACCGCAGGGCACAAGTGTCCCAAAACCAGAGCCAAGGGGGCCTAAAGAGAGCCTCGTGTATCAACAAGAAGATTAAATTCAGAAAGGATCAGCCTCTGCCCAAAGCAACACAGCATGTCCCAGCTCAGGAGGCTTCAGAAGACAAATCTCTGGTCCCTCTAGGGTATGTAGCCACCCTATCACAAGGAAGAGAGCCATAAGGGTATAGACTATGGTGGGGTTGGCTATACCAGAAACCCCATGCCCTTTGCCAGACCAGGGACTGAGGGCGCACAGCCCACGGCAAGTCCACTTGCCCATCAATGAGCTCCTACAGCGGCCACCGAAGCTGAGGAGGCAGGCAGAGAGGAAGGCACAGTGAAGCAGGGTGGAGGGCTGGGGTCAGGGCCAGAGTTATGATGACAGCAGCACCCAGGCTGACCCTGCCTGGATGTGGTGGTGGCGGTGGGGCACACACAGGTGCACTAGAGGCTGCACAGACAGCCGTCTCCTGTGGCCATGCCAGCCAGAGAGATGCACTTGCGGGCGGGCGGGCAGGCAGGCAGGCAGGCAGGCGGGGGCATCCCGTGAGCTGGTGGCCTGGTGCCTCTTACCTCTGGGCTCCTCTGCCTGTTTGGCGAGCTTGCGCAGCGCGGCAGCAAAGCTGGAGGATGGCGCGGCCTGGGCCGACAGCGTACTGCTGGTGGCCGGGCTACCGGTGGGCACCAGGGCGCCATTGAGTGGTGAGGGGGTGAGGGGGTTGACGGTGGCGGTGGTCCTGGTCGCCGTGGAAAGCATCCCTACTGAAGGGGACTTGGGCTCATGGCTCATGCCTGAAACAGGAAAAGAAGAACCAGTGTCACCCAGAGAGCAGAGCGCCAGCACCAGAGGGGCTGCAGCAGCAAGAGCCGAAGGCCACAAGAGCAGAGCACAGCCAGCGCTGCAGACAGCAGGCCCATTCCCACAGTTCCACTGGCCCCACGGGGTGAGGGCACCCCAATGATGCTGGCCCCTGGATCAGCTCTCCAGAACCAAGCCTACAGAGAACACCCCAAAGCGTCACATGCAGGGCGCCACCAGACCCAAGTGTTGAGGAGGGAGACTGAGGCAGGGTCTGGGGCACCAATGAGACAACACAGCAAGCAGCTGACAGTAACGGGGCGTGGGACTACCAGTCATCTGCAACAACGCCCAAGAGGCCTGCACAAGTGTCCCCTATTACAGGAAGGAAACCGAGGTCTACATGTACCCAAGGCCCCAGTGGGGTCAACACAAATGACACAGCACCCATCACTGCTCAGGCCGGCCTGGGGTCCTATCTCCCCTTCATTCTCCTGATCGCCAATCTCTCCCAGGTGGGAGGGGATGGCAGCAAAGGGCACAGCCGACTGCAGCTCCTGGTGAAGCCCTTCTTGCCTTCCAGCCCCTGGGGCAGACAGACAACACTCAAGCCACAATGCCAGAGAAGAGGCTCCCACAGTTCTTGGCAGAGCCATGGTTTAGGAGGCCACCCTGTGGGTCTCATCCTTGACCCTGAGCCGCTTTCACAGTCCGTGACCCACAGAGACTCCAGGCACTAGGAGGTGCCGCCCCCCTCGCCGCACCAACTTCGAGGCGGTTTACTATGCTGCACAGGGTCTGGAAGGAGCTGTTAAACCTCAGTAAGCCGAGAAACACCAATCCGCAAACAGACCTGCGCCTCAGCCTCCACCAACACTGACTGCACAGGTACCTCGGGTGCCACCACACACCCTCCAATCCGCCAAGCACCCGCCTCCACGCCACATTTGGGGAAGGTGTCCTTGAACTCAATCCACAGGTATGAGTGGGTAGACCCAGCACAAGGGTGTGTCAGAGCAGGGCTGGGACCACTTACTCCAGCATAGCGCTGTGTGTCAATCCCAAGCTGCCTCAGACCCAGCTCCCAACAGCAGGCGGGCGCCAAGGCTCACTGTACAGTTGCAGGCCTATCCCCCAAATCTGAGAAGATAAAAGTGCCACCGGGGGGGGGGGGGGGACCTGCAGGATGCCTAGGGGTCTGAGCAGATACACCAGGCCCAGTGGGTGTGGCAGGATGGCAGAGAGCTGGTAGAGAATGGAATTTGTGGTAGGCAGGACCTCTCCTGTATCAGTGTCTGCATCATGCTCCTATAGGGGACCCAGACAGGCACCTCACCACCAGTCAGAGCCAGGGACCTCCAGTATTCTCAGGCCCAGGGCATGACTGCCCTCCCTCCCATTCTTGGGGGGTCCCCCAAGTCTAGGTCTTGGAGGTATCAGTATGTTCCCAGCCTGGGAAGCTGCTCTGATGTCAGGTCACTTAAAATAGAATTCCAAATGAGCCACTTCATTAGGGGGAGTCTAAAATTAGCATCACTCCTCACATGCGCACATAGGGCTGATGGGGGAGGGGCAGGGAACAGCTTTGGGTACCAAGGAGGATATACTGCCAAACTGGGGGAGAGGGGAGCTCAAGAGTCCCCTCACTCACTGGCCTAGACCCATCAGGGCTGGTGTCTGTTTTGTGCCTGGCACCCTCAAAAGACGAGCCCATCCCCAACAGGCAGGTACCAGCATCATGGAGGCTCAGATGTGGCGGGCAGGGGCAGCAGAAGGGGAGGGGTGGGCACAGGACGCCTGCTCTCCCTACCTTAATTATGGGGTATTTATTAACTTTCCTGCTCCCAGCCGTTGACTGAACCCTCATCTATGAGATCACCTCATGTGAATTCATTATCCTAACAGCTGGGAATAAGCTCTGTAGTGCAAGGCCATGATGGATGAGGCCAGGCGCTGCCTGCACAGTCCTCCATCTCCAGATGAGCAGCTCAGTGGGAAACTGAGCCTGAATCTAGGTGGCCTCCTGTGCCACCCACTCTACACAGGCTCACCCAAACACCCACTCTCAATTCAGCCTCAGCTCTCCTCTCTATGGACCCACCCAGAACCCAGAGCTGGGAGCTTGGGTTTATGCCAGAAGCCATTAGGAGTACCCACAAAACGGCCTGGGACAGCCCACTTTCTCCCGTTTCTCTGCACAGGTTTCTAACATGGGTAGAACCAGAAGCATCAGCGCTTTCAGGCACTGCCAAAGGTCCGACCCAGAGCACCAGTCAGGTGACACTGTCCAACTCACCTCACTCTGGTCCTGCACTGTTATTGACCCAGTGGGCTTCACAGGGGGGGGGTCTCCGATGCCACTTCCCTCCTGCCGTATGTCAGGGGTTATTAATCAGCCCAGCCTCCCTCCTGTTGAGGCCGTAATTACCATCCCTTTCATCCCAGCTCCTCCCAGCACCAGACCTCAGGCTTGCTCCTTCTGCTCTGTAATTACCAGCTAATAGCTGAGATGAATTTTCTGGAGGCCTGGTTCAAGCACCAATACGTCCCCTCCTCGCCCAGCAGCCCCTCACCCTGGGGTAATTACACCCAGGGAAGCTGCACCCAGCAGAGCCAAGCTCTCAGGCAGTCTGGACCTGGATGCCCTGTCTGCTCCCTCTTCGCCATTTTTCATTACCACACACTGAAATGTTTGTGGACAGGGGCAGGCCCAGCCCAGGCTCCATGCCCGCCCCTGTGATCCCTGCTACCCTAAGGATCCTGCTTCTGCAGTTCTAACAAGGCTGGGGTCACCCTGCTGCAGGGACCTGGCGGCTGCAGTAGTATGGGGTGCCACGTGATCCCCGGAGCCTGGACGGCTTCATAATAAATTCATTATTATGTGTGCTGCCGGCTTGTTCTGAGCGCACCCATGTGAGGCAGCTAGCTTCTCCAAGGGTAGGGGCAGGGAGGCCTGCCATGTTCAGTGGTGAGCCTACCCCCCGGGCTGCTAAGTACTGCCCACTCCTGCTCCCAAGGTCAGCTCCCCCACAAACCCGCCCCCCCAAGGCATCAGAGAAGGGAAAACAGAGCAGAAGGTGGCTCCTGATCCTAGACCCTGAAAGCATAGAAAACAGTAGGCAAGTGGGGGGTGGCCTGCATATGATGGGGGTTCTGATCTGAGGGTCAAAGGGAAACAGGGCAGCCAGGCAAAATGAGGGAGGCAGGAGAGGCTACCCACTACATGGAGTACAGTTAATGCCTAAGCAGCCTCTGGGGTTCCCTGCAAGGGTTTACTGACACTCCTCAGCCTCTCCCTGCCCACCACCAGGCTGCCAAAGGCCCTGTTGACTTAGTGTTCAGAAAAACTTGGAGCACAGCATGGCAAGAAGTCCACACACAAGTGGCTCAAAAGGGTGCAAAGGAGTGGTGTGCAGACTTGTCACCCCAGCTACTCAGAGGCCGAGGCACGAGGACTGCAGGCTCACTGCCAACCCGGACGAGTGAGAACCCATCTCCAAAACAAATGGTAAAAAGCAGCCGGGGAGGCAGCGCAACACTGCAGGGCCCTGAGGGCAGGGTCCAGACAGCGGGAGGTGGGAGGGAGGGAGGGAAGAAGGGAGGAGGGAGGGAGGGAAGGAGAGGGGGAGGGAGGGACGAGGGAGGGACAGAGGATGGAGAGAGCTACAAGGCTCTACAGCCTCGGGAGGGAAGACAAGAAAGGCAGGCACTGTGCTTGGCCAGTACCCGGCCAGCTGACCCCCCCCCCCCCGAATCACCTGATGAGGTACAAAGCAACAGATCAGGGCTCTCGCCGGCGGTTCCCAGGCGGCAGCAGGGATGGAAGTCAGGCAACAGATGGCAACGACATTTGACGTGATTATTCTAAGTGGCTGCTGTGCGTGAGAAGCCTGGCGTGGGCAGAAGAAGGGCTGCAGAGCCACCCACACCTGCTCGTCAAAACCCCACCAGAGAAAGGGGCCACGGGGGCCGGGAGGCCGAGGTCAGGGCTGAGGCTCCTAACAGTTCGCAGCAGGCGGTGGGTGGGCTAGCCTGGGGCCAGGTGTGTGCACACGGCTTTCACACTAGTAATGCTACCCACCTGCAGGCACCCTTCACACAGGAAGGTCCCACAAACCAACCTGAGTCCTGACAGGTAGGCTAGACAGGCATATATGGCTCAGGAGACAGAGCTGACCTGGTCCTTCCACCAGCCCCCTGCCAGCTGCTGCTAACACAAGGGACGGGGACCAGGGACCTCGCTGTTCCTGCCCTCAGTGTGCCTACTGTGTCTAGCCTACCTTGCCTCCTGGACACGGAAGCTCGGCCATTCCCCAGGCCAGCCAGGTGTTTTGCAGGAGACTGGAAGAGAGCCACACCTTGTTGTAGGCTCAAAGCATGTTTATTCTGTTCTGTACCACTGAGTCGGCACCCACTGGGTAGGAGAGGATGCTGGGGAATGGCTCAGGTAAGGTTCAGAAACCCTTTAGCGGCACTTGGCCCCGATAGTGCAGACAAGACATCCCAGGGAGTCCACCACGTGCCGTGCCTGTTACGGAGCGACAAGGAAGACAGACAGTGTGCTGCTGGAGGGGCAGTTTCTGCACACTGCAGTGAGCTTCCATGTGGCCCATGGCATCTTCAAGCCTCATAGGTCACAAAGAGCCCTTTTAGCAGACACTGCTGGCCTCCTCCCCAAGTCCCAAAATGCCCAAGCTGTCCAGGACTGAAGCTATGTGTCTCCAAGTGTCCACCGGGTGGGAGTCGGGAGCCAGCAGGTCAAGGCAGGGCCCTGAGTGGTTCACACCTGAGGAGAGGCTACAGGCATGTGAAGCCCAGCTCCCCAGGGACTCCTAGGCCCCACCAAGGCAGCCCTTCACTCCCACTTCCTGTTTTGGCTAGAGGAAGCTAAGCAGACCCAGGGGACTACATGACAAGCTGGGACAGAAGTCCTAACCCAAAGTCTCTCCCCAGAGGCCCCATCCCCAGCCCAGAGCTAGAGAGCAGGACACAC